CTCAACCGGACACAACCCAGCGTCCGGTGCAATACCCTAGGTACTGTGTCGTCTGACAGCTCGACTGGACGCAGCCTTTCAGCGTCTGTTCGCTGAGTGACCCAGCGTCCGATCAGTAGACCGACGCCAGCATCATTGCGACCAACTCCATTTCACCTCTAACTTCTTTACCCTTATTCAAATGTGCCAACCACCAAGTGTATCACCTTGTGCACATGTGTTAGCATATTTTCACAAAACATTTTTAAGGGTGTTAGCACTCCACTAGATCCTTAATGCATATGCAATGAGTTAGAGCATCTAGTGGCACTTTGACAACCGCATTTCGATACGAGTTTCACTCCTCTTAATAGTACGGCTATCGATCCTAAATGTGATCACACTCGCTAAGTGTCTCGATCACTAAAACAAAATGGCTCCTACAATTTATACCTTTGCCTTGAGCCTTTTATTTTTCTCTTTCTTCTTTTCAAGTTCAAGTGTTTGATCGTCACCATGCCATCACCATTGTCATGATCTTCGTCATTGCTTCATTACTTGGAGTAGTGCTACCTATATCATAATCACCTTGATAAACTAGGTTAGCACTTAAGGTTTCATCAATTAACCAAAACCAAACTAAAGCTTTCAGATGCTGGCTCCGGGGTGATCGGACACTGGCTCAGAGTCCGGTCAGTTCATTTGACCAAGGTGAAATCGTCTGGCGCGACCGGACGCTGAGAGGTGAAGTGACCGAACGCTGAGAGCCAGCTTTCGGTCGACTCCAGTAAGGTTTCAGAGAGGAAAAATCACGACCGGACGCGTCCGATCAGTGCTGACCGAACGCTGGCCAGCGTCCGGTCACACTATAAACACTGGAGTTCGGGGTGTACTGACCGAAGCGTCCGGTCAACATGACCGGAGCGTCCGGTCATCCTACAGAGGCACATAACGGTTCGTTTTTCAGCCCATGTTATAAATACCACCTCCATTCATGTGTGGGGGCACTTTTGCTCATTCCAACAGCTGAGAAACACCTTAGAGAGTGCCAAGAAGAGCAAGGTCCTAGTGAAGTGATTGAGATTTGAGAATCCCAAAGAAAGCCCTCATTAGTGAGATCAAGAGTAGCAAAGTGTGCATCCACCCTTCTCATTAGACTTGTCGTGGTCAAGTGAGAGTTCGTGCTTGTTACTCTTGGTGATCGCCATCACCTAGATGGCTTGGTGGTGATTGGGAGCTTGGTGATCATCCAGAGAGCTTGTGGATTATCCAACTCAAGTTGTGAGTGGTTGTGGGTGATTCACCACGACGGAGTGTCGAAGAATCAACCCGTAGAGAGCACTTGATCCTTGCGCAGATCAAGGGGGAGCTACACCCTTGCGCGGGTGCTCCAACGAGGACTAGTGAGGAGTGACGACTCTCCGATATCTCGATAAAACATCACCGCGTTCCTCCTTCTCTCTTTACTTTGAGCATTTACTTTGAGCAATTCAATTCTTGTCATTTACATTCTTAGAATTGACATGCTAGAGTAGGATTAGAACATAGGTTGTAAGTCTTTTGCGCGGTAGAACAATTAGAAACACTTTCTAGGCACAAGGGGTTAATTGGGCTAACCGTAGGATTTAATTATTGCAAAGAAACTTAGAATTAGCCCAATTCAGCCCCCCTCTTGGGCATCTTGATCCTTTCACACAGCCTCACCACACACCTGCTCCTGGGCCACCTCTCGGTGTTCCTCAAGAACCGCCAACGCAGGGAGGCAAGAACCCTAACAAAAACCCTAGTGCTGGGGAGAGAAGAGGGCATGGACGAGGACGATGCTTTACCGGTGAGAAGGCAGCGGAGAGCGTGAACGTTCGATGAGAAGCGAACGTCATCGCCTCGTGTCGCTCGCGTCCGCTTGAGTCATGCCAGCTCGCGTCACCACGCCCAGGATAGGTTCTGGACCTAGGAGGGTATGTCTCCGTTCCGGGCCAAAGAGGGGGAAGAAAGGCCGGGATTGACCCATTTTTAATTTCGGACCGTATCTATCCGAACGACCAATCCTGGCCCGACCTGACTTCGAACCGGGCCATATCAATCCGAGCGGATCAGGCCGCGTTCTGGACCGTTCCGGCCCAAAACGAACGAGGCCTGATTCATCTGGGTTTCAAACCCTGCAAATATGTGGAAAACACTCAAATCCTCTCCATTTGAACGCTACCCTGAATCCCTCAATACCATGAGCACGCACTACACATGACAATTAATTAAAGGGAAACATGGTTTCATAGCATAGAAAGATCATGACATTCGGAAAATACCATCGAAAGACATCCGTTATGTAAAATACCACCGAAAGAATGAATTGTTACCTTCAAATAGCATTCCATCACGGTGGCCGCTTTTGCCGTGAATTCCTCCGTTGAGGCACATTTGTTCCCCCATTTCAGAGAAATAGAGCACACACACCAGCGTACGGGCACAGTCCGATTTGCCCTGGAGAGGGCACAGCGGCCGTGACTGACTAGCCGGCGGCCTTCGCGGTGGCCGACCACACCTATCAATGTCAGTGGCGTGTATAGATGGCCAACGGGCCGGCCCAGTCCGACACGGCATGGAAGAGCCCATCAGGCCACCGAGCCGTGCCACACCAGTCCATCGTGCCTGGCCGACGGCCCAGGCACGGCCTGTCGGGCCAATTTTCATGCGGGGCTGGCCCGATGAGCCCGGCCTTTTTAGCAGATCGGGCCGACCCGAGCCCCACCAAATGCGACAGAGAGGAGGGGGAGGCGAGGAGTGGAGGTGGCGGCGGCCGCCGGCGAGCTCCCCCCCGGGTCGCTTGATGCCGGATCCGGCGAAGTAGCTGGCGGAGGAGGCGAGTCCAGCGAAGTAGCGGCCGGATCGAGGGCGTAGAAGGCCAGATCGAGGCCGCTCCGCTCGAAGCCACTGCAGGGGGACACGGAGGAGGTGGCTAGACGCGTGGGGGTCGTGGAGGAGGCAGCCATTGCCGTGCTCAACACTGGCGCTGTTGTCACGCTAGACTTCAGTGTGGTCGAGGGACGGGGAGGAGGCGAGGAGGAGCGGGGTTGGCACCGCGGAGGGGATGGAGGTCGGTCCAATCGAAGCCGTGCGGGGGCGCGAAGGAGGCGGCCAGAGCCATATGCGCAGGGGGCCATGGAGGCGGTGGCTGCCGCCGCACTCGACGCCATCACGTGGTGGAGGTGGAGCTCTGGAGGCGGCGGCATGGGGATGGGGGAGGCGGAGTGGAGTGGAGGTGGAGGCGGCGGCATGGCCGGGGATTGAGCACGCGGTGTCGGCTGCCACGCGCCTGCACCTGGCCGGTGAACGAAGAGAGGGATCAAGGGAGAAGAGCAATGCCGCGAGTGGGGAACGGGGACCGGGGAGGGAGGGGAGGAGTGAGCAGTGCAGCGTGGGGAGGCCGAGAGGGGGATACGCGGGGGGATGGGAAGGGTGTTAGGGTTCAGGGGGTGGGGACGGGCCGGCTACGGGAGCAGGCCGGCACTAACAGCCGGGGTTCAGGGAGCGGGCCGTGCCGTGCTGGCCCACGTGCCTAGGGTAAGGCCCATGCACGACCTGCTCTTCCGGGTCGTGCCAACCCAGGCTCGCTAGCCGCCGGGCCAGGCCGGGCTTGGGCCAGGCCAAAAAATGGGCCTCGGGCCGGGCCAACGGGCTCGGGCTGCATGGCCATATATGGTGGCGTGGCCTGATATGGCTCATAGGATCATGGCCCCGTGCCCGCGTGGCATGCAACATGGGAGACGGCGGCGGCATGCAGCAATGGCGAACCCGACGACTACAAGGTCGGCGCGGGTACATGTCAGGTGCGTGGGGGTTATAGAGGGGCTGTTCTGGGCATGGCTTGTGCGGGGTTGAGTAAGAGCGATGGTGCGGCTTACCATGCGAAAAAAAACAAGCGTCTATGGTCAGCGTCGAGCAGGACGGAGGCGGCCCGCGATGCAGGGCTGCCGGCGGAGTTTTGGCCGAAGGAGGTGCACGCGGTGGTGGTGGACGCGGCAGTGTAGCTGGCTTGGTGGAGGCACCACCGATTGGAGCTATCCGCGAGAGTTCCCTGCGCGGCGGCCATGGCGAGCAGCAGGAACAACGCTCCTGGCGGCGGCAGGATCTAGCATCCCAGAGCGGATTTGCCCAGTTCAGTTGAGCCGCGGTCGGAAGAAGTCTGGACGGACGTGGTGGTACACTCGGCCGAGACGCTGGTGGTCTGCACTCATGGGAACAGCGACGACGGACCTAGGACCGACCATGGCGGCGGGCAGCAGCATTTTGGTGGCATGGCATGGCTCCGGCCCAGAGTTGTTTGCTATCGTGCGCAGGGGTGAGAACATGCTGGCGGAGATGGTGGGGCACACGGCTCGGCAGTGGTACGGTGGTGCCAACGGTGGGGAACGGTGGTGGTGAGAGCTGAGAGCAGATCGACGGCTCCGAGCTTGGCGTACAGGCGCAGGCACAGGCACAGGCGAGTGGACCACAGGCAGCCGTCATCCCAAGTCCCAACCATCGCGAGTACTCCTATATGTATGCACACAAACTCGATTGCTCTTTCATGCGCCATGAGCTCATTGATAGATGATCCATGCACGTACGCACAGTCGCACATAGGGCACTGATCTCCTGTCAGTGTCCACGGAGGTGAGGGCGTGAGGCAGCTGCGGCGGCCGCCGTGCGGACCCGGCGCTGTTGGGCCGTGCGAGGTAGCCACGCGGCGTAGGGCATGTGTCGCTGCCTATCAGCGTGTCCATGCCCAACCAGACAGGTGGGTTGAGGAAGAAAGGTGTCTCGACGGAGGAATTTACGGCAACAGCAGCCACCGTGACATAATGTTATTTGAAGGTAACAATTTGTTCTTTCGGTGATATTTTACGTGACGGATGTCTTTTGATGATATTTTTTTAATGTCGTGATCTTTAGATGTCATAAAACCAATTTTCCGTTAATTAAAAGGCCTGTACCACTACCACGTTGATCGATCGAGTAGCTTCAGTCAGTCAGTCAGTGGTTCACTGGTTCGCGTCCACGTCGTCCTTGTTGACGGGCTCGAACCGGCCGCGCCCGAGGCCGTGCTGGTACAGGACGGAGTGCAGCTCGACGGGGGTGGCGGACAGGGACTTGATGATGCTCCCAAACCCGTGGCGCGGCGACGACAGCGGCCCGCCCGTCGGCGGCTTGGGCAGGCTTTGCCCCTTGTGCAGCCGCAGCCGGCCGCGCTGCTGCTGCGCCATCATCTCCACCTGCGGCGGCCCCATCAGGCGCGCCAGCCCTTCCTCCTCGTCCCCGGATGCCGCAGCAGCCTCCTCCTCCTCCTCGTCGTCGTCGTTGCGCGCCGCCGGCGCCGTCTTCCGGTACGCCAGGTACAGCACCAGCTACACCGTGCCCAGGACGAAGCCGATGGCGTTGGGGATCTGGCGGTACGAAATATGTGCTTGGTCCAGTTATATATATATATATCGCGATCGAGTACCGCCAGATCCCCAACGCCATAGTGTGACGCAAAGCAACGCGTTCGCGTGCTACGCACCCCGATGAAGTAGTCCTTGACGAGTAGGGAGTAGACGCTCCAGACGTCGCCGTTGAGGAAGAGGAAGAAGGAGAGGGAGAAGGGCATGTACTCCACGCTCCGGGTCTTCACCACCGTCCGCTGCATGCATGTATCAGTAGCACCCAAATAAACGCATAGCTAGGCATGGATGGATGGTCAGTTCGCTTCAATTTTGTTATTACGCGTCACCCGACTGAAAAAAAAACTAGTGCTGTCTCGTAAACGTCAGTCGTCGGTAGTCATATTTTTTGTATCGACTATAGTTAATCTTTTGCTACACATATACTAGTACTTACTTATCAGTTGTGGTGGTGTTATCCCGTCATGCATGTCCCTGTCACTTGGTGTCGGTGAGCTATACAGTGCTTCAGTTCGGTGCGACGGGGGAGTGAGAGCCAGCGGAATTTCTGGTGGTTCTTCGCATAATCAGCCGGTTCGCTGGTTGATTTCTGGGCTGATAAGTCTGATTGGTGCTGGTTTGTTACGAGAGAAAAATACTGTTGGTTGACTGATACGCCATGGCTGAAACCAACAAACGAACCGGCTAAATGTCACCACGGAAACAGTAGATCATATCGCATGGGTCATGGGACGTACTTGGGACAGCAGGGGTCGCACGCATTTATTCGGTTTCAGTTCTTGCTAAGGCCCTGTTTAGTTTCTCACAAAAACCAAAAATTTTTGCGCAGTAAGTGTTACATCGAATCTTGCAGTATATGCATGGAGTATTAAATGTAGACGAAAAAAACTAATTACACAGTTGGGTGAGAAATCACGAGACGAAACTTTCGAATATAATTAGTCCATAATTAGACACTAATTACCAAATACAAACGAAAGTACTACAGTACCCAAAACCCAAAAATTTTCGGATGTAAACGCGCCCTAAGCTGATAATGCAATTTAAGACAAGAGATATATAAAAATATATATACTAGCTCTTTTCTAGGAGTATAATATAGCTCCAGTGCATGAAAGAAAAACCGAACTTGGCCGGAGCTCCAACAAATTAGCCCTACTAGATTTTAGGTAAAGCGTGGTTGGGTACAAACCTTCAAGGGCATCTATCTGAGTTCGTGCTAGATAGGCATTACCGGTTGTGGTGTGCTATAAGTGTCCGAGAAAATGACATGAGACCAAACACTCAATGACGGGTCAGGAAAGTAGATGCGATCAGCTAGTCTTTTGCGGTATCAATCATTTTATCTTATTAGCATTCTACTAAGGTCGGCACACTCTAGAAAGGAGCGTACGTATATGGTGTCTCTTCAGAGATATGATCAGCTTTCGTTCCCTAAGAGAAGCATCTCAAGTCAAAGAAACAGAGACACCGAAACAAGTTACTACCAAAAGTGGGAAACAAATTCGTACGACGTTCACCACTGAACTTTTTCATGAGCTAGAAACTAAGTTTTCCTAAAGAACGGGCACTGTACGTGTGATACTCTGTTTCACAGTCTCGAGTAACTGGACAGGAAGTGATAGGTAGGGGGTGATATTGTCAGTACAGCGGTGCCGCGTACATCCCAATGGTGAGCGCGGCGCAGAGGAGCCCCACCGCGAACAGCCGGGCGCCGCCGTGCAGCGCCAGCAGCGCCACCGCGACGACCACGGCAAGGAAGCCGACGTTCACGGCCCGGCACCAGCTTGCCCATCTTCGCCTGAGATTTACCACAACAAACATTATTCAGATGAGGATTCGATCCGTTGCCATGGCGTTGCCGTTCGATTCAGTCAATCAGTCAGGGGAGGTTGCCAAGCTAAGGATATGCTACTACTGTACGAGAGCCAGATGCATGTATGTATATGAACTGATCGAACCTTGGTCTCCCTGGGCGCGTAGATGAGGTAGAGCGTGACGTAGACGGCCTCGAGCGCGGCGCCGGCGCCGTTGACGGTGATGACGAGGAGGCCGCTTCCGCCGGGCTTGAGGAGGCCGTAGAAGGTCCAGAGGCTGGTGCTGAGCAGGGTGGTGACGTACGGCAGCCACCTGAAGTCCTCCGTGCTCTTGTTCCTCACGATCCGCCGGAACGTCGCGCTGGATTCCATTCCATTTCCATGGAAATTAAACAAAACAGAGCTCCGCGTCCGTCAGCAATCAGCTCGCGGCACTTTCAAGTTGCATAGAGATATGTAGGTAACAGAAATTGCGTGAACTCGCATCGGAGACGCGAAGACGAGGATGGAGATTACGTTCCCCTGGTGTGAGGCAGGCAGAAGATCAAATCATCAAGGGGGAACTGCTTGGTTGATGTTCAAGACAAGAAAAAAACAAAGGCAAGGAGACATGCATGATAGCCGCCTCCGGCGAGGATGAACACTGACCTACGATCCCGACGAGGAAGCTCGGATTGGCCATTGCGAACGACTCTGTTGTTCCGCGAGGATGGACGGACGCGGGAGAGGTTATGATGAGGACGCGGACACCGGAGAGGGTATATGTAACACTAGCTATGTGACACTGCTTGCTTCACAGTCGGCGCAGGAAAAGGTGTTTGCATTGGTTAGTGCTGTATCGTTTCTGGGAAACACGACGAGCGCACGCCTCGTCAGTCTCAGATTCTGCAGCAAAAGGCATAAAATGGACGAACCAGAGCACACGGCCGGCGGTCACCGACTCACCGGCCGTGCCGTGCTCGTGCGTGTTACATACAGAGCACGCGGCGAAATCCATCTCAAACACTTGCTTGACGTCCAGGATGTTCACCTGTTCCCTGACTTAGCAATTTACTCTCTGCTTTTCGTTGAGTGTGGTACGGTAAGCGACCGGACGGTAACAAACCGGGGAATCACAACCGAGTGCCCATTGCCCCATTCATTGGCGGCTTGGCTATACGTGTCAGCAGACGCAGGGAGTAGTCAGTAGTCACCACAGCTGATAGCGCACCACTACTTGCTCCAGTTCGCGGTGGATAGACAGTAAAGTAGAATCCAAACACCACTGAGTCTGAGCTGAACGGCGCGCGGAAGCTCACCCACCTACAGGCAGTGGAAGGTGACGCTGACGTCCGGCGGCCGTGGCCCGTGGGGTGGGGAGGGGGAGGGAACAAGGCCTCGTTTAGTTGCCAAACTTTAAACATGCAAAGTTGGTAAAATATACTGTAGCGCTAATGTAATATTTCGTTTGTATTTAGTAATAATTGTCAAACCGTTGACTAATTAGGCTTAAAATATTCGTCTCGTAAAGTACAACCAAACTGTGCAACTAGTTTTTAATTTCGTCTACATTTAGTATTTCATGCATGTACCACAAGTTTGATATAATGAGAAATCTTTTTTTTGCATAGTGCCAAATTTGGGAGTTTGGGAGGAACTAAACAAGGGCCAAAAGACATGCAGATCCGGCCCCATGAAACGTTCTAGAGCCTGACACGTCGCGGCGCTAGGGCGACGCGGGTGGTGGGACGCGAGTCCGCGTGCTGGCGGCAGCGCATAAAAAACCCGAGATATTCTGGAGATAGGGGAGAAAGTGAGACGGGTGTGACATCGACATCGCCCCGTCGACTGGTCCGGGAGCGGGGCGGCGTCGCTGTAACCCCTAGATGGATGGAAGGGCAAGGCCTAGGTACCGTTTAGTTCCACTCCAAAATGTCAAATTTTTCAAGATTTCCCGTCACATCGAATCTTTGACGTATGCATGAAGCATTAAATATAAATAAAAAATAAAACTAATTACACAGTTTAGACGAAATCCACGAGACGAATCTTTTAAGCCTAATATGATTGGACACTAATTACCAAATAACAACGAAAACTGCTACAGTGTCATTTTTGAAAAAAAATCGGCATCTGAACGGCACGAAAGCTGCACAGTACGAAGATGAGTGATTAACTGTGCATAGTTGCTACTCTTCTTTTATATAATCCAACAATTGCTAACACTAACTACAGTCTCGGAAGGGGGACAGAATACGCCTGAGACCTGGGGCTGGGCACTGGCTGACTGGCGGTGTTCTCGTCGAAGCAGACTGGGTAACCTGCACGTAGTCAAGTCACAAGACGCAAAATCAAGACGGAAATGCTTAGGCTTGGGCGCCCGATCGCCTCTGTAAGCGGGCCGCGACGCCAACATAGACTAACCTAAACGTTCTAATGCGCTTGTTTAACTAAGAATAGTTCGTTTAAAAAAAGACTGAGAATCGTTCGACCAATTACTTTAGAAACAAAACCAAATCATACTCTTCACTCGTTGAGTTCTCTTGACCACCGTGGCATGGTCCACGGCGACCCCTCCGGTCAGCGTTCTTCACTGCACCCGGCCGCCAACCTGTCTTCATCCTTCCTCCTCACCACACTTGAGCGTCGCCGCGCAGCTTCTTCCCTCTTGACCATGCTCACTGACTGATGTGTGTGGTTTCCATTCTGCATCGCGCCCTCGTCCGCTTCCTGTCCCTCTAGCGGCAGCTGAGCGACGACCAATCGGCCTTCCCCTCTCTCTCTCCATGGCGCTCAATCCGCTGCCTCCCTCAGCGACGGTCTCCAGCAGTGATGCGTACGAGATCGGGTAGGGGTGACTCCACTAGCAGAGGCGGCCCCAAATAGGGTGACTCACCCAAAGAATGGCTGCGATGGCGATGGCGACATGCAGATGCGATTGAATCGCTTGCTCCTCCACGTGTCGTGTTACGTCCGCACGGAAGAAGAAGGGTGAAAATTGCATGTTGCAAGTGTTTTATTGCAAGTGTTGTATATCGATGCTACAAAAGTAGATCGGGGTGTTGCACATGTTGTAATGGCTACACACGTATGTTTCAAATGTATGTTCTAAATATTTTATCTATTCCAGACGTATGTTGTAAGTGTTTTTATCTAGGTGTTGTAAAAGTAGATCTGGATGTTACATATACATGCATCTCGTAAGCATATGTTTCAAGTGGTTTTAGGTGTTTCATATGTATGTTTGCAAGTGTTTCATATGGATGTTGCATATATTTGCAATGGTTCTCAAATTATTGGGTATCGATATTAGGGGTACCCAAAGTAAGTAAGTTAGTGCCCACGCTGACTTTCCCGGATGGCTCGAGACGTATTAAAAGGTCTCGCCCGACCCCAAAGCTGCGGGCTCCGTCTCGTCCGACCTCAAGGCCGCGGGCTCCGTCTCGCCCGACCCCTTGGGTGCGGGCTCCGTCTCGCCCGACCCCTTGGGTGCGGGCTCCGTCTCGCCCGACCCCTTGGGTGCGGGCTCCGTCTCGCCCGATCCCAAGGATGCGGTTTTCGTCTCGTCCGACCTCGGGCTCCATCTCGTCCGACCTTGAGGTCACGGGCTCCGTCTCGTCCGACCCCTTGGGTGCGGGCTCCGTCTCGCTCGACCCCAAGGACGCGGGTCCGTCTCGACCAAGGCCGCGGGCTCCGTCTCGCCCGACCTCGAGGCCGCAGGCTCCGTCTTGCCCGACCTCGAGGCCGCGGGCTCCGTCTCGTCCGACCCCTTGGGTGTGGGCTCCGCCTCGCCCGACCCCAAGGGGCCGGTTTTGTCTCGCCTAAGGTCGAGGCTCGCCTTGCTCGACCTCGAGGCCTTGAGTTCCGTCTCGTCATTGACGAGGGACCCATACCGCCACCAACCACTCCAGGTCCAAGCGTATGGCCCTGGGTCAAAACTCTGACGCCAGAAAAGAGGCTGGCATGCCTCGATGTAACCCATGGCCATGACAGGCCATACCATGGCCATGACGAGTCTGGCATGCTAGACGCTCGCTCGCTCCATGTACGGACACCCAGACACTAACGCCCGGATCGCTAGCAAGTCCAAAATCAAAACAGCAAAGCCCTGTTTGCTTGAACTTATCAGCCGTACCTTTCCAACAAAATAATAATATTTTTCTCTCACAATAAATCAGCATTAATATCAACATAAGCCATTTTTCCCACAAATGTTTCGATCGTCTACTGAGTTCTAACCCAGGCCTGGGTCAGATGCCTTCCCCCAAGCCCACAATATACATGGGCCGGCCCAAAACCTGGGCTACGAAACGACCAAGCTTGTCAAGGAAGCTCCTACTCATCTCGACATCTCAGGACTCGGGAGGGGAAAGAGGGAAAACCCCACTCATTTCCCGCCCGAACATCCGAACCGCCCGCCGCCGACTCCCGCTCCGGCGATGTCGGCGACCACGGCCTCTGCCAGTCAGCCCTCGTCGCAGCAACCTCCGCCGCCACCGCCCACTGCTGAGGTCGTCCTCCGCCTCGCCTCCCGCGACCCCTCCGCCGCGGTGCCCCTCCTCCCGGAGCTCCCGCCCGACGACCTCGCCGACATCCTCGCCTCGCTCACCGCCGCCTCCCCCGCGGGCCACCTCGCCCTTCTCCCGGCGATCCTCGCGCTCTCGCCCTCCCCTTCCGCCGCCTCCACCGCGTTCGCCGCCCTCCTCTCCGCGCCCAGCTGGCCCTCCTCCACGCTCATCGCCGTCGCCGCACTCCTCCGCGACCTCCCGTCGGCCTACCGCACCCGCATCCCCGCCTTCCTCGGGAAGATAATCTCCCTCCTCCCAAGTGCGGATGCCCAGGACCTCCCGGTCCTCGCCTACCAGCTCCTCCTGCTCGCGTCCGCCGCTCTACCCGCGCGTCGTCCTCGCGGGTCTCCTGCGCTTCTTCGGCGGCCGCCGAGGCGCCCGCGTTCGCGCGCCGCCGTCCTTCGCGCGTCAGGTCGAGAGCACCGCGCTGATGAACGTCGCGTTCGCGGTCAAGCAGGACCCCGCGCTGGCGAGGGAGGTCCTGGCCGCCGTCAAGGCTGACGCCGCGGGCGCTCTCAGTGGATTCGCGGTGGCAGTGATGCTGTTCGTGGCCAGGGTGCGGAGGTTCAACGAGGGTGCCGTGAGTATGCTCCGGGATGCGGCCGTGGTGTCCCGCAGAGATTACCGAATGTCAAGGTGACGGATTGCTCGTTATTCTACCATCTATTATAATTACTCGTGTTTGCTCTAGAAATTTGTTCTGATCAAAGGCCAGTGTCTCTCAGGCGGTGCAAATGGTTGCCGGATTGTATGGAAGAGGAATATGCACGGGCCACTCAATGTGTCGAGAAGGGACTACTGAAATCTGTGAGGGATTCATATCTCATAGTACCTGCCATGTCAGTTGTGAACTGATCATAAAGTCTGCTTAGATTCGTAGTTCTATTTGGGGTGTATACGGTGTCTTATATGCAGGTCGACGAGAGCATTGTTGGGAGGGAGCATGTTGTGCCAAGCATTGTTCAGGTGGGTTTTCTCCTGTTAGAAGTCTCAGATGGTGATCAAGGGGAGGAAGGTGGCTTAGGTGAAGGAGTAATGAGCACCGAAGAAATAGGCATTAATATGCTCAAGTCATTGTTTGAGATCCATGAAATGGCACGAACTGAGGTACGTATCGAAACAGCATGACCTTTGTCTTAACAAGTCGGATCATAGTTATAAATTGGTTTATTTGATATGACATGGTGTGTTTCAATTTTGAAAATTTGGGGTCAGATAATTGAACAGTGCAAGTTCCGGATTCTCTCGGCAAAGCCTCAGCAAAGTGCACCAGTTCTCAGGTCATACGGCATAGCAACCCTAGTCAAAATTTACAAAGCACAAGTTATAGTCTACAGTTCAATATGTTTGTTTACCTTTTCTTTTTGAGGAAATGTCTGACCATCTTTTCATTGCAGGTTGCTTGGATGCTTGATTTTGAGTCAACCATTTCCAATGCTGGAATTCATTGCACATTTGAAGGAGTTGCTGGATTATTTTTCTTTTATGAATGACAAGATATCAACTGGTTTGATCAGTTGCGTCTTGCCACTCACAAAGTTCAGCCTTGATCTGAAGGTCTTCAGCCTTAACAATATTTTGTGCTTATGTGGCTGGAAAAGACTCGTTCGATTGTTCTAAAGTGTATTTTTACAGGATTACATAATACTGGTTGTAAGAAAGGCGATGTTCAAGAGGGAGGACATGGTCCGAATTGCTGCTACAAATGCTATAATTGAGCTGATTATTGCAGAAAGCAGGAAAAGTGAAGCCAGTCCTTTTGAAGACTCAACAAGTCAGCCAAGCTCTAGCCAACAGCCTGAAAAACACATCTAGAGTTTGGTAGGGTCTCTTTCAGGAACTAAGTGGATTGCTTCGGAGATGTCTCTCACATCAGGTTTCACTGCTTTCATTATGATGTACTACCATACAACTGGTTCATCTCTAGTAAGACCTACAGTTCCCAGCATAATTAGTTTGCTCTTGCAGGCCAGTGTCAAAGAGATCTTGTATGAGGGTCTTATACGTATTGTTACCTCTGATCCAGCTGTTTCTGACAATGTCCTTGATTTCCTCTGGCCTCACTTCCAAAACTATTACTCAGAGGTAACACTCCCTGACAGACCCTTTTTTCTGTTTATGTTTGTTGGTCGATGTAGACCCTTATTTCTGAAAATATGTTGTGATCCTCTTGACTGCATCCTTGCAAAATGAAGTTGGTCTCATGGGTTTTTTGTTTCTGATTTGCTTTAGGATGCAGAAGGCCCTCTTAAAATTGGTTCATGCTTCAAAGTAGAGCATGCCAAACTATGCATTGTGGAACCTTTAGATTGTCTGCTGTCATGTATCTCAAGAATTCTGCAAATTAAGCAACATAGTAAATGTGAACGGCCACGTGATGCATATTGGAAGTGCTTTGGTTTTGCTGCTTCACAAGATAATGAGGTTGGTTTATCTCCTTCTAACTTCTGTCGATAAACAGCTAAAGGTTTTGATGTTATGCCTCTCGTTCTAGTCTTGTTCTATGTTTTTATAACCCAATCTATTTTCAGGTTGGACAAGCATCATCAAGTGATTTATTCGTGAAAGCTCTATCAAGCATCCAAAAGTATTTGAGGATATCCCTCACAGGTTTGTGATATGTCATAGATAAAGCAAGCCAATCCGAGCACAATAATGCTATTTAAGAGGACATTTTTCTGTGCTTATAATTTCTGCATGTTGACAGACCAGAGAGGACAAAGCCAAGAAGCTGGTTCTCTTTCTTCACTATCGGAGGTTGCTCACTGTCATAACTTTGCTATGCTTGGAATCATTGAGGTTTTTGTTGATTTTGCTGCTTCAAAACTGGAGAAAGCCTCTGATGAATCGAAGGAAATGATAGAAAAAGAAATACTGGAGCTTGTTAATGTGCACAGTGGCTTTGAGAAAAAAATGAGCAATGGTAGGGAAAGGATAGCACGGAGAAGAGCGAATGCTGGTGATGCTACAGATAAGCACACCAATGAACCCAGGGAGAATTCTAATGCTTCATTGCAGAAACTTCATGGAAAGAGGGGTAAATTTGCCGACTCGAGTTTGTATGAACTTTCGGTAATGTGTGTCAAGCAGTGCCATGCTGATAACTACAACAACGTTAGTCAGCATCCTAGCCAAACTACATTGAACCAGTGCTCCAATCTGACATCTTTTGTACTGAAAGCCTTTCTTGAATTGTCGAAATCACTTGCATCAAAGGACAGTAGGGGCTTCAGAATAAAGCTGCATGAAGATTTTAAAAAGTTATGCCAGCCAATAATGCAGCTTGTATGGTGTTTTCTGTTAGATCCAATTCAAGAAAATGGTGGAAGCAAGAGGAACATGACCCAAGGAAAGAAAAACATTGAGTGCAAAAAGGATCAGTTATATTTGGCTCTGACATGCCTAAAAAAATTCCTTGAGCCAAGTGTTTCAGGAGATCACTCTAGTGATGTCATTGATTTTCTAATATCTTTGGCTCCGCCAAATATAGAGGATATGATGGATGCTGTGGATCTTGACAATAATGATACCACTATGGTTGAAGATCGAAGCACAAGAAATGTCCATATGCTTTTGAACATATTGAAGACGTTATATGCTAGACTTCTTACCCAATCACTTTTACGTGAATCTGAGGTAAATATGTTTGTGATCTAGGATTGAAAGCAACATTGGATGGTTTGAAATTTTACTGGATCATATGTAGAATTAGGATGGTCAGGTCTCTTTGTCAGCATACTAAAAGATACTCCCTTCCAAATTATAAGTCGCTTTGACTTTTTTGGTACATTTATTTTGTTATGTATCTAGACATGCGTTATATCTAGATACATAGCAAAATTGATGTACCAAAAAGTCAAAGTGACTTATAATTTGGAACGAAGAGAGTAGTTGACTAATCGGCCTGATTGATTGATTCTCTTAGGAATTGGCTCTATTGTACAATTTAAAAACATGGTAGCACACTAGATGCTTCTGTGTTGTCTATTTATTATGGATGTCTGCACACTCACGTAATTTCACCCTGCTTAAATTTACAGTCACCAGTTACCTAAAACATCAATATATTTTCATAGGAAGTATGAGGGGTCTTCTAGGCTGGCATTACCTGTACAGTCATAATTTGAGTACTTTCTATTTTGTTTGGTGGAAAGTACAGTCATATTTTGTTTGGTAGAGGGTCTCCATCATCCACACCATGCTCCTCATCGTTGGCCTCATCAATCCGGGCCCGACGTTCACCTGCCTCCACGCCGGTGCCCACCCCGGGTCCGGCGGCCAACACTCAGCCCCTTCCCGTCAGTTCGGCCTCGCGGCATGAACTAGAGAGTTTGGCAAAGACTGCATCTTGGAGGATGTCGTCCTCGGATCTCCCGGGCATCAGGGGCCAGTTGCCGGAGCTCCCTCCTCTCGCGGCCGCTGCGGAGGCCTTCGTGGGCTCCCCCTTCAGCCAGCCTTGGGGGTCGCTCGGAGCAGAGGGCCCTTCCTCCTGGAGGCCACAAGAGCGGATCTACTTCGATGATTCTGATGCGTCCTCTGAGGAGTCTGATGACTTGTCGTTGGTGGCCGCGGACACCATGGGGAAGGCGGTCGCCGAGCCCCGCCGTGGCCGTGGCCGTGCCAAGCGCCACCGTCGACGTCGCCACGCTGCCACCTCTACATTTATGGCAGATGCACGTCGCCCGCGCCCGCTGGTCAGGAGGTCCCCCTCTCCATCCCGTCGTCACCTTGAGGAGCGCGGCCATGACCACCGGGAAGGCCTCCCCCTCGTCGCCACACCGATGCGCCCCCCGCCACCACGTCCCCAGGATGAGCGCGCCCGTGGACAAGGATGGCTTCACGTTGGTGCAGAGTCGCCGTCGCTGGCGCCATCGCGCCGTCGAGCGGCCACCCCGCTCGCGCGCGGTCCCTCCGGAGTTCGTCGGCCGCTGCTTCAATTGCCTCGCCTACGACCACATCCACATGAACTGCACCTTCCCATCGCGGTGCTACCACTGCCACAGCACGCTGCACCAGGCGCGGAACTGCAAGCGCCGGCACTCTGCCTCCGGCCCAGCCTTTCCAGGGGCCAGGGAGCCTTCCCGGCGTCGCAGGCGTCGCAACGACAGCTACGTCGCTTCGTCAAGCACGGTGTCGGGCCGCTCTTGCTCCACGGGACGGGACACTTCCGTCCATCCGATGTGCGCGCCACACTTCCATTCGCCACGACAATCGTCGAAGTGCAACGGAACTCGCTGCCCGCCTACGCTTCCGTCCAGGGGCACGTCGCCCCACTCAGAGACGCTTTGCCGCGGAGGCCTCCGTCGCCCTCCCTCCTCCGCCACCGCCGCTCGGCCGCGTCTCTCGGCGCCCCCGCCTGGAGCTGCTGCTCTTCCCTCGGACCGCGGAGCTCAATGCGGCTGAGAGCGCACTCTCTTCGCTCGCCCTGGTGACGTTGGTGGGAGGGAACCGCCCGCCGGTCTAGCCGGCGCAGGTGCGGGAACATCTGCAGTCGTTCTACAACATGCTTGAGGATGCATTCACGGCAGTCGCCACTCGCCGGAGGACTTCCTCGTGCGGTTCACCTGCCGAGATGACCTCGAGTGCGTTCTCGACGCTTCTGTACCCATCGGGACGCCATTCTACCTGCTCTGGAGAAGATGGTGCCGTCAGTCCATGGCGTCCACTGGTTCGCTGAAGTACAGAGTGCTCCTTGGCATCAAGGGGATGCCGGCACACCTTTGGGGCCTCTCCTCCGCTGAGCGCATCTTGGGCTCGTCTTGCGCCAGCATTGAGCCTGCTCCGGCAACCGTCGCCGGCGAGGACAGGCGCGAGTACGTGGTCGCAACTTGGTGCGTCCACCCCAACGTCATCCCCTAGGAGAAGCTCATCGGGATTCCTGAACCGGAGACACCCTTCGTTGTTGTGCCGCCGCTCTACCCCAGGGAACACGAGGTGATCCACTCCGAGCTCACGGTCCTACGCTACCGCGTCCGCATCCGCATCATCGAGGTCCAAGACTGGACTTCCCGGCCGCCGCCCTCTGATGATGAGGCCCTCGGTGACTCCGGCAATGATCCTGACTGGGGTTTTGGCGGGGTCGTTCAGGTCCTTGGCCGCGTCGACACCGCTTCAACAACGGCGACGGTGGCGATGGTGGCGCCGGTGAGGATGCCGCGCCCGACCCGGTGCTGGGCCGGGGTCGGGGCCCACTTTCAGAGAGACTTCCAGTGTAATTGTTGGTGATTTCGCTTGCCCTGTCCGTCACTCAGCTGCAGGGGGGAGGGGGCGGTCATCCATTCCTTTGTCAGGGATAAACTGACGATGCTGACCACTACATCCTTGTCGCCTACGAGCCAGCCTCCGCCGTTGGACCCATTTCAAATTCGAAGCCAAGAAGGACAAACCAACACCACAGCTGGCGAGGATCCGATGCTTCTTTCCCGCGAGCATAGCTGGTCCCCTATGAAGCCTGCCGCTGCCGCGACGCGGGCACTGGAGACCGTCGATGACCAGCTGTCGCTTTACCGCCAACCACCCTGCTATGAGTCCTGGGCTCCAGGCTGGGTGGCCAACGAGCACAGGGCCAGCCTCGACCAAGCAATCCTTTTGGGGAATCGACACGGCGCGTCCTGGGCGGCGGAATGGGTGGTCGACGTACACGACACATGCCTCTGGCTGCCCGAAGACCAGGATCTATCCCTAGGCGGACCTACCACTCCATAAGATCTAGGTCCGCCTGCCCAAGTCGATGTTGTGCCACAGTCGCCCCCCGCGGCCCATGCTCCGGTCCAGGAGACTGCATGGGCGGAGATCTTTCTAGATGCTGGGCTGGACCTGCATGGGCCGTCGCTTGTGGCCTCCGATCCACAGACTCCAGTCGCAGTCAGGCCCAACAAACAATCCCACGAGGGACAACAACTGTCCACTGGAGATAATAACCAAGACCACGAAGTGCAACCGGCTCATCCGACCGTGGACGGCCCAGCAACGATGACCCAACGTTCCCCTACAGTGCGCCCTACCTCGGTCAAAGACTTCATTGCTGGCCTCAGGCTGCCGCTCGAGCCGCCGCTCATCTAGTCACCGCCGCGCCTCCGTGTCTCGCGTGTTCCGGTGGAGAACCTTGTCCTGCGTTGCAGTGACAGGCCTGCGGCGAAGTCTGTCTACCGCGACCCCAACCCGGAGAAGCAGGCCAAGCGGGTCCCTGCTGAACAAGTGGCAGCCCTCATCCAGCTCCACGGACGTCGCCGGTGACACCCAACGCCTCCATCGCCACTCGTTTCCAGGAGACGTTCCAGGAGCCGCTGTCTTCATCCAAGCGCGCCGCAATGCGGGAACTCTTCCCCATGCAAGGTGCTCGCAGGAGGCACGCGGCGACGCAGGCGTCTTGAGCTCGGGTTTCCTCAACGTCACAAGCTCTTAGGTCGCACTTTTAGTTTCTTAGTTAGTTACAATAGCATGTGTTCCACCGCTCGGCGGTGCCTTGTGTTCGTGTTCAACCCCTTCACTCATGGCACCTCGCCGTGATGTGATGTTGGGCGTGTAAACCTTCTAGCTTCTTCTTAATGAAACACGTGCTACGCACGTTCTCGAAAAAAAGTGCTCTGATCACTTTCCTTGTCTTTGCTTTGTTGTACCATGCAAATGTTGTGTTTCTATTGAGAATAACTCTTTATAAATCAACTATCATGAAACAGCATATAATGAAAACTGAATTGATATACTAAAGTTCTTGTTCATTTCTGTAGGCTGTAACTGAATTGATTTTGGTCATTTCAAGAAAAGTGCATCTTGAACAAAGGCATCTTATCGGAAAATGGGCTACAGATCTATGCAGAAAGAAAACCACGCAAAGTCCTAGTATCGCACGAGAGATGGTAAAGCTAGCTATACATCTTACACCAACTCCAGATGACATGATTCTTGTTTGTGACGTGTCTGCTGAGTTGATGAAATTAATGACCTCTGGAGATGACGGAGATTCTTCTGATACATTTCATATAATTAACTGTAAAACGAAGAGCTCACTTGCTGCTGTCTCACTTCAAATGGTTGAGTCATCTCTTACTGAATTGGATTGGGGTCTTGGAAAGCTTAAAGCAATGCTTACATTAGGTTATGATTCTGCTAACATTGATGAAGATCAACCAGCAGATGAAATAATGCTAAGGTTGGCTTTGGAGAAAGCACTCTACTCGAGATCAACATCAGTAGTTCAAGTCCTCTCTTCCTTTGCACATATGAGCCTTAAGGGTATGTTGTGAGGTACCATAATATGTTCATTTCGTTCCATTTCTACTTGTGGCCTGATTTGAACTTTTCATTCTCAGATACTCAAGCAGAACACTTTCTGAAATTGACTGCCAAGTTCTACAAGCTGTTAACTCGCATGTCAAAGTCCCAGATTGCACCTAAAGGCTACACACAATCCATTCCAAGCCTCAAGTTTCAGAAACTGGCTGAAGTAACTTGCAAGATGCTCACCGCTCCCCTTTATGACTTTGTGTCTCAACAGGTCTTTTTCATCTTCTAAATACAGCATTGATGCGCATGGCTTCTATAACTGTGGTTTCAACTTGTTTTTTCTGTTTTCTTTCTTGTGTTGCAGAATCAGCAAATACCCAGAAAGGGGAACATCGCTAAAATTAGAAGAGAAACCAAATGTATCCCTGATCTAATTTATCAGATTGAGGATTATGAGAAGTATCTAATACAACTAAGCAAACTCACTAAGGTAAACCTTTTGAGACATGCCAAGCGCAGTGTAGCACGAGACTTCCAGATAAAAGATAAATCTGGGGAACAACAGGAAGAGGATCCCACTCCAGACAATGCTGCAGCATCTGATAATGAGGCTAACAAGGACGCAGGGGGTCCAAACACTCCAGTTGAATCATATGCTGACGAAAATGCATCATCTGAAAGTGAGCATGATGCGGATGCAGGAGGTCCAAACACTCCGGTTGAAGCAGATGCTGATGAAACCATTAGGTCTAGCATTCCATGTGGTAGACCAGTCCAGGAGTCTGAATTTGATAGAGAAGAGGAAGAAATATTAGCACGGAGGAAGAGAGCTAAGACAAAACAAATCGTGCAGGATTCTGATGAAGAGGCGGAAGATGAATAGTTTTTTTAGACATTATTTCAAATCTCAAATCGTGTATTGTAGGCAACATCAAGGAATATAGATCAATTGTAAATAGATGGTTTTGCATAAGTTTTTGTGGGTTATCTTGTTGGAAGATGTAAAATTTATGGTTTTGCAAAAGTTTTTGTGGGCCATCATGTTGATTATAGACCATGCACAGAATATATGTAAAATAGAAAAATAGAAAATGCTATATGTTAACGCTCTTCTTTGGTTACAGTTTTATCTATGAATTCAACGTTAGGAGTTAAATCGCAGATCATGTTAAGCTTGTTCGTAGTACCTTCAGTTTTTATAGGCATGGGGATTTATTTTTATATATTACAAATCCGTATTAGCGCATGGAGTAATTTATTGACAAAAAGTTATATTGAGGGCTGGGAAAAAGTTTAGTGCACCCATTACTCTATATGCTTGGATAGAATAGAAGTATCTTTTACTTACTAATTATTAGTCCAAGTGATCCAAACATACATTTATTTCGACGAGTAAAAAATCTGCTCTTAGAATTGACCACAGGTCATCGAAAAATCAATTATGTATTGGCCAGGCTTGAGCCATGATTCTTTAACCAGCAGCAACCATAGGGTTAGGCGCGAGCTGTATTGGCCGGCCACAAAAAAAAATCAGGTTATTTTAGCTCGACATTTGATCATACGCAGCTTCTTGCTTGTAAAGCACATTTTGTTCCAATAGTTTTGTGGCATGCATGACCCATTTGTTCGGCAGGTTACAAGCGTCGATAAAATCCGAAAACAATACTTACAGACAACAGAACGTAATAGAGTCACAATCCATTTTTGTAATATTTATACGGAGTACTTCATTTGTCAAATTTCAAATCTGAAAGGAACCGATAAGTCGGGCTGATGCCACCTGCCACCTCCTTTGCCATAGTACACCTGCTTGTCCAATTTCTTAATCAAGGGAGACAGTTCAAAAGCTTGAAGATGCCAAGGGGACGTCGGGCGACCTGCCCATGACCTCTCCTGACACTTCCTTGCCCCCACTCATTCCTACTAAGCCCTTATTTAGTTTTCACGTCAAAACTTTACATCATGTCACATCGAATGTTTGACATATTTACAGAGTATTAAATGTAGACTAAAAAATAATTAACTGTACAGTTTACGACTAATTTGCGAGACGAATCTTTTAAGCCTAATTAGTCCATAATTTGATAATAAAGTGCTACAGTAACACATGTGCTAATGATGGATTAATTAGGCTTAATAAATTCGTCTCGTTGTTTACTGACGGATTCTGTAATTTATTTTTTTATTAGTATCCGAACACCCCATACGACATCTCCATATAACATCCAATGTGACATCCAGAAACTTTACATGCTGGATCAAAACCAGGCCTTAGGGTTGCCTCCACAAGGTGTTCTTGCGGGAGTGATACGAGGGGTTAGACAAGCTTAAAACACTACTAAAAATTGAAAAATCTTTTTAGGTTTTTTTTAGGATGACTAAACTTGAGATTAGTTAGCACTAAACTTGAGAGATGGAGGGAGCTTGGATGTCGAAATGCTCTGAAGTTTTTGGCTGTGCAAATGAGCTCCTCTGTATGGGGGGTTTTGTAGCCAAGGAGGGGGAGATGCTAGAGGCACCGTGTGCCCGTCGCCCCGACCCCACTAGTGCCCCCCGTTTTCAAAATTTGAATGCTCGGCATTGCATAAGGCCTGCCAAAAATTTTCACCCCAAACTATCACATCGAATCTTGCGGCACATGCATGGAGTATTAAATATAGACAAAAAAAAAACTAATTGCACAGTTTGGTTGGAAATCACGAGACGAATGTTTTAAGACTAATTAGTCCATGATTAGCCATAAGTGCTACAGTACTAGCATGCGCTAATGATAGATTAATTAGGCTTAATAAATTCGTCTCGTAGTTTTCAGGTAAGCTATGTAATTAATTTTTTTATTAGTATCCGAAAACCTCTTCCGACATCCCCAAAACATTCGATGTGTATCCAAAAATTTTCATTTCACGAAATAAACACAGCCTTGTACAGAGAGCAAAGAGGAGTGGCAGGCAAGGATGTGATGGAATGGGTCATAGTCACGTCCCCTGACCGCCTTACGGCTGCTTTCTCAGGAAAATTTCAGAGCAAAGCTCCTTGGATACCTAGCAAAATATGACGGAGAGAGATGAGAGGGGTTAAGTATCATTAGGGGGTCTGTCGACCTCCCTAGTGCCCCTCCTTCCTGTGAAATGCAAAGATTCTTTCCTCTAGTGATTAGTGAAAGGGAAAAACAAAAGTTGAGTGGAGGATGGGACCACATGCATGCCGCCCGACGTCCTCTTGTCCCCCTTTTTTTGGTTTTGATAAGAGCCATTCCGCCTGTTCGCTTAACTTATAAGCTGTATATTTTTAGTCAATAAATAATATTTTTCTCACAACAAATCAGTCAACAATATTTTCAGTCATGGTTTATCAACTATGTAAAGAGGGCTTAGAATGCTTAGTAGGAGTGAGTGGGGGGCAAGGAAGTGAGAGGTCATGGGCAGGTCGCTCGATGTCCCTTTTGTCATCTTAGAGCTTTTGAATTGTCTCCCTTAATTAAGAAATTAGACAACCAGGTGTACCATGGCAAAGGAGGTGGCAGGTGGCATCATGGTGGAGTCGGCCGACCCCACTTTGACCCCTCCAATAGCTCAAAGTTTAGTGATAAATCACAATCTATAGCTTTTAATTGAGTTCAACCAGGCTCTCAGGGCCTTGTATTAACGGACGTAAACTCGACGAAATCGCGAGTTACCAAACTGTTTACAAACTCCCGGAGGGGATCGTTCCACACAGAGGATTGACCTAGGTCCCAACTTAAGACTTGTTTAGATTGCCTTAAAATTTCAAGTTTTTTCACTCTTTCTCCATCACATCAATTTTTGGATACATGTATGGAGCATTAAATGTAGATAAAAAAATAACTAATTACATAGTTTGATCGTAAATCACGAGACGAATCTTTTGAGCCTAGCTAGTCCATGATCAGACAAAATTTATCAAATACAAATAAAACGTGCTACAGTGTCCAGATTATAAAAATTTACAATCTAAACAAAGCCTAAAGCTAACTTGGCAATCTCGTGCGCAGACGAGTTACAGGAACTTGGAATATTTAAAATCTTATTACAAAGAAAACGATCGGCTAGAAGTTCTCGGATGCTGCGGAACAGTCCGCCTCCTGGTATCATAAGTTCCAAAAATTTTCACCCCAAAATATTACATCGAATCTTGCGGCACATGCATGGAGTACTAAATGTAGATGAAAAAAAAATTAATTATACAATTAGGTGAGAAATCACGAGACGAAACTTTCAAATCTAATTAGTTCATAATTAGATACTAATTACTAAATACAAACAAAAAGTCTTGCTACGGTAGCAAAAAAAAAAAAAAAAAATTTGGAAACTCAACGCGCCCTTAAACCAACAGGGTGAAAGGATGGCGGCCCTCGGCCCTCGGCATGATGGTGCGCGTGCACAAACCTGCCCGTAGTCCGTAGAGGCGTAGATCCGCGTGCAGCCGTGCACAAACACCGGCCCCTCCTCTATATAAGCCTCACTCTTTCGACTCGACTTCGAAAACCCTAGAACCGGCGCCGCCGCCGCAGCCGCAGGTCCTCACTGCTCGCCGCGCGTTGCAATGGTGATACATCTAACCTCCTCGCAAATCGCAAACTTCTCGTCTCGGGTACCATGGACCGTTGTCCGTAGCTGATACATAGCCCACTTTTCTCGCAGGGTATCGACCTAGTCGCCGGCGGCCGGAACAAGAAGACCAAGCGCACCGCGCCCAAGTCCGACGATGTCTACCTCAAGCTCCTCGTCAAGGTACTTTCTATCCTCGCCCCGATCTGATGGCAACTGGCTCGGATTTGGATACGGCCGCCATCGCATGCGTCCCGCCTCCTGATCTGTGCCCGTATTGTCGCAGCTGTACCGCTTCCTTGTTCGGAGGACCAAGAGCAACTTCAACGCTGTGATCCTGAAGCGGCTCTTCATGAGCAAGACCAACCGCCCGCCTCTCTCGCTCCGCCGCCTCGTCAACTTCATGGAGGCCAAGGTCTCGCTTCGGCTTCCATTCAGATTTTTGTTTGCTGAATGTGCTTTGTGGGTTTATGTCACATTGTGTGTTTGCGGTAGTGCAGGAGAACCAAATTGCTGTGATTGTGGGCACTGTGACCGACGACAAGAGGGTCTACGAGGTACCAGCAATGAAGGTGGCTGCGCTTAGGTTCACTGAGACGGCAAGGGCCCGGATTGTGAACGCGGGTGGCGAGTGCCTCACCTTTGACCAGCTTGCGCTGTGTGCCCCGCTGGGCCAGAACACGGTAATGCCCACAGTTCAACTCTAATTTCAAATTCCTACGGCTCAGTTTAAATGTGGATATGAACAATGGTATGGTTCAATGCTAGTCTAGGGGAGGTCTTACTGAAGTGTCATTGAACTTCAGTTAACAGCTGGTTGGTAGAAATGATTTATGATCTGAACTTTTCTCTGTATTGCTTGAAGTATTTATTGTTGAACTGTGTGGGATGTTGCTTTATTTCTGATGCTCTGCCTGCATTGTCAGGTTGATGGCCATCTATTCATATATGCTGTATTTTGTATCTGAATGTGCATAATTAATAGTTGTATGGAAAAGCTGAACATCTTTCAAGCTAAATGAACTATTAAGACATTCACATTTTCCTTGTTATCTCTCAATGATGAGATCAAAGCAGACGGGCGGTCAGAATCTGATGCTGTGTTGAGTGTCTGCATTTTTGTGCATTCCACTTCTGGAATGCATCTGATAGTGAGAACAAGGCATTTCACTTGCAGCCGTATTGCCTGTTTTCTAGAGCCAAAAATTACTCTAGTCATGTTGTGGATATATTCCTCGTATATAAGTGATGTCTCTTCCAACTTACACATGATTGTTGATTTGCTTAATTTTGAGCATGCACCTGCATTAATTATTTTCTTCTTGGAGATTTCTTAAGGCCAAGAAGGTATAACTGGTGCATAGATCTATATGGTTGTCTTACCAGCCCATTGCATTACTACATGGTTGCTTTGGTGCCAAATGGTCTAACCAAAACTTTTCTATCATCTTTCTATTTGTTTGCTTTCTAACTGTTGGTCGATTTTATCATGTTCTCATATCAAGAGGTTTTTTTGCTGATGTGATAATTTGATAACTTTTTAAGCGTTGTTTACTATTTCCAATTTTCTCATTTTTGTTTCACTGCTATGTGATAATAGAATGGCAGATGATGGATAATCTTATCCTACACACTGAATCTAATGTGTTGACCAATACTCCGCTTATTGTCTGATGCCATTAGTTAACGAGCTCTCTGTTCATTGCTTCTGAATTTTGTGGACTAAAAAGGAATAGATAGGTTTGGTTGTTTTGCATTTTTTTTGCTTATAACATTTAAATCATCAGGGTGTTGGGTGTTAAAAATACTTGCATACATTCCTATCTGTTTGCAACATGAATATCTTCATGGTATAATGGGTTGTAAAAGTATAGAGTGGGAAGCTGTGTCTGGGTTGCAACATGAATCTCTTGTTTATTATCATTTCAAATATTTGGATGTGCAATAGCATTTTGTTGTCCCATTAATGTATGTAACATCTGAATCTCTCAATTTACTACATTTCTCAGGTTCTGCTGAGGGGACCTAAGAATGCTAGGGAAGCTGTGAAGCACTTTGGCCCTGCGCCTGGTGTGCCGCACAGCCACACAAAGCCTTATGTGCGCTCCAAGGGAAGGAAGTTTGAGAAGGCAAGAGGAAGGAGGAACAGCAGAGGCTTCAAGGTCTAGGTTGTCGCCATATCTATGTATTCTGACCTGGTTAACCATCTTGTTCGAGTCATAGAGTTGGTATATCTTACACCCCAGTTCCAGGACGTTTGAGAGCTCTTTGTTGTTTGTACACCAGTTCAGATCTGCTAAATTTTGCCCGATTGGTTTGCGCCCTACCTGAAGTTCCAAAGTGACAAAAGCACAATAGGGTGCATCTTCTCGGTCAGTACATCTCATTGGAGCCATTAATGTCTGTTTGGAGAACGTCCCACGTTCTCTAGTTTGTCGGCAGTCAGTTATCTCCCCGAGGTGAAGTTGTGATGTAGTAGTATGCAACACTCGTCTCAACGCTAACACGTCTCGACCAAAGCTTTAGGGATGTGTTTTGTTTTTTTCCCGTTGAAAAAAGGTTTGTAGGGAAAGAACGCCTTGCGTTCTCTATGTTCACAGTTTTCACTGAGTTCTGGAAACCAACTGCAATTGCATAACATGGTCCTATCTTGGTTTGTTTTGTCTAGCAACGCACCAAAAAAACACAAGCCAAAGCTGAAATGCTGTGAGAGAAAAACACTGTTTTGGTTGAAAAAAGAAGTCGAATAAGTCAGCTTTTAAGGTAAGCCGAACAGGGACGATTCTTCGATATCATCTTTTTCACTTGGAAAAGGAATCAACATTGTAATAGCTGACTGTTATCCCATTGCAAAGACCTAGCGGATGACATAGCAGCAGCTGCTCCTGGTGGCACAAAAAAAATCGAATGATATCACCGATATTAAATTTGTTTTCATATTTATATTTGGATTTGGATTCAAATACGGATAGTGTTAACTTTGTCGGATGTAAATATGGGATTTAAATATTCAAATACGTATACGGTATCAAATATTCAATATTCGGACTCAAATACGGACAGATCTGAACTCTTCTAAACGGATTTGTTTCGAATATGGCCGGAAAATATCCATACCGTTTACACACCTGCCTACCAGCTAGGTTGTACACAGACACAGGCTTACAAGCCCCGTGGGCCAACTTGTTCACACCACCCAGTCGTCATGGAACAACCAGTCACCTCCGACTCCGAGATACTTTGGGTTCAGCATCTTTTCACGCCTCCCTCGGCCCGTAGCCTCAGGCTTCCCTTGCCTCGGGCCGCTTCGCCCCTTTGTTCAGCTGATTCACCCACAGGGATCAAAAAGGCTAGAGCACTGGTGATGCTGACATCAATGATTGGTTGTTTTCCCGAATCAGTGAATTTAATGGTTGAACCAGAACCACCACATAAGAGTTTGCACTCCGCAGCTGATAGCGCAGCTACACAAAAGAAAACCAAATTAGGCTACTAACCTGTCATACTTGTCATACACAGCACATGTGTAGGCTACTAACCTGTGCTTGTTGCAGATGCTTCTCTACAACTTTATGTTGCAATCTGTACTTCATCAGAAATCTGCAGTAAATAAAACAGAGGGGGCCTAGTCAAGTGCCATGGTGAAGATGTTCTCTTGTACCTGAGATTTAAATATTTATTATAACAAAGCTTCTACCGGTCACAACTGTTCAGAACATTCCTTTCCAGTTCAAATATGTACCAACATTTGCCACGTGAAGTTTGAACATTTTTTACATCTTCATCACCTAAACAACGATGATTATCATTGTAAAATCATGTGTGGTTCCCTTAATTATAGAATGGCTGGTTAGTTAGTTTTTCATAAAATGTTTGTAAACAAACAACATGGTGACCTAGTACCTTGTAGATGGTAATAGGTCACCTTTCATCCAATCTATTTTGAATTCTTGATGGACGGCCTACAGTTATTCTGGTGTATCATAGCAAGAGCCTATCAAGCATCACAAATTACATTGACGGAAACTTCATTTATGTTTGAGTGACTGCAGCAGCCGTGCACAAAATATTGAGATAGGCAGAGCACTTTTAACTTGAATGGGTGAAAAGATTCAGTAGGCTGAGTCTTTGAACTTATGTTCCCGATCAGCTCCTCTGTCACACAAAAACTTACCTGTCCCTCTCTGTCATGCCAGCAGTACCATGGACCATATCAATGCATACATGGGTTGTCAAGTCTGTTGGCCCAAGTCCAAGGCCAGGACTCATGATTATAACACAAAGCAGCAACATCAATACCTTCGAGGCGATGGAGAACGAGTGACGCCTCCTTAAGGCAAAAATAGCTTCCAGGTACTTTGGTTTCCGCTTCCAGTTGCGCCTCCCTGGGCCCATAGCCTCGAGGTTTCCTTTGCTTTCTCTTGAACCGGCCTGCTTCCTGCCTGCGAATTGGGAAGAAAAAAACGTTAGGAGCATTGGTGACGCTGACATCAATTCATGAGTTAAAAGATTGAACCACCCAAGAAGATTCGCAGTCCCTATACTGCAGCTACACAAAAGAAAACCGAATTAGTAGAGATTATCATGCTGTATACCTTGCTGTGGACAGCTTGCCAAAGCCGGAGGCTGGAGCAGTAAATCATGGTTTAGACTCTGTTCGCAAAAAGGGTTCCGGCTTCTCCAAACGAGCAGCTCCTCCGGCTCCACAGCTGGAGCTGCTGGTGGAGCCATAGCCAGAGTGCCACCAAACAGGTCCTCAATCGTGTCCGACTCACCAGACCCAGTCCTGGCGTCGCCCACAGACGCTGGCCCTCCATCCCGGTCAAACCCTCCTGCAGCTAAAAAAACATTGCTCGAGTTCACCTCAGGATGTTTTACGCAGTATTTAGAGTGACATCTAGCACCCTGCTCCAGCCTAACCAATGACTTACTTCTTTCCGGATGATGAGATCCTGTATCTGAACATGAAAATACATAAACAAAAAAACTAATAACAATTGGTCCCTTGTACATGTAGGCACGTGCATAATATGGCTGGGAAAAAAAGAGAGGTTTGGTATAACATGGGAACAAAGAAAAAAAAGAGACAATAGGTTCTGGTGCATTGTTGTTCATCATCTTGTAATAGCAGTACTGCTGCATAGCTAACACAATCTGGGATAATAACCACGCAAATGAATTATTAGTACAAGGTCTCTGTTCCAGTAGATGAGATTAGGGGTGTCAGTTAAGCTAAAATATGAGATTGACTTGAGCATACTGTTCTATTGGCCATCTATTTCATCAGGTAATGTTAGGACATTGATGAATGTTTTAGCAACTGCAGGTCAAGTGAAACATCAGAGGCCTACTATTTTTGTATGAAAATCAAAGTAGCAAGGCAGCTTGTCTATCCTAACAGACAAACACCATTTCACACGTATTTGCATTGCAAAACAGGACAGTTTTACATAGTTCAGGTCACAAACCAAGTCCCTGCACTTAGTGTGGTAAATTAGCAGGATTTTACAAGCCGCTGAAGATCTAAGGGTGTCAGGCTGCACCAAAAACTCACCACCTACTGCTACTGAACCACAGAACACAACCCTGAAATGTCACATGATAATAGCTATGAATATTATTAGCTGTTAATTGTAACTTCCGGTGTAACTTGTCCTCCAAAAAAAAAAACCATTGTGTGTTTTTTAGCAAGGGAAAATATTTAAGAATGGCTGTTCTTTTATAATGCATCAAAATTTGATGTTTTCCCAACCTCTTGCATGTGAGATGTTTGATCACATGTGATGCTTTCCCAGTGGGCCTGTTCTACATTTCTGTTGTGCTATCCAAATCTGCTCTTTGTCATTATTGTGCCTTGAAGTTTCTTCATATTTTGTTTTTCTGCATACAGTTTGTGCATGCACTGTTATCTTATAAACTGCACCCACATGTGAATATTTGCTTCTGTTAAACTGTAGAATAGGAATTTCCGAATTTGAACAATCATTTTTCTATCTATTTTTATAATTTTTTTGCTCCCTATAAGGATTTTGTTAATATTTTCCTTATCTCAGGGATAACTTTTACATCCCATACCTTTTTATGTACTAAAGAAAGAAAAAGGCATTAATCATTTTTCTTTGAGACATCTTTGAGTAGTACTCATAGAAGCAAGGAATGTGTCTGATCCTGAATCTCTTCTCTCTTATGAAGAACGTGGCAAGGAATTCTCAGGGAAGCCATCTCTAGATTGGTTCTGAGGTATGTTATTCATTTTGTTCTTTTTGCTTCTTTTGTTGCTTGTGGAGTAGAGCACAAGAAGCAGATTACTTTTTTGCTTAAATAATTATTTTTTTCCATTATTTGGGAAATCAAGTACCTAACCTTGTGCTATTTCTGGTGCCAACTATTTTTGCAGCACCAAAAGTCGGTTGGAGAAAATTTTGAGAAGACATCTACAGTTCACATTTTTGCAGCACCAAAACTCGGTTGAAGACATTCTTCAGAAGAGGTACGGCAATGATTTTGATTCTCTGCAATTAACTTTCTCCCATATGTAGCTTCTTCTGCTACCAAACAAGACTTAAGTTAACTTTGGCCACAATGGCGAAGCTAGAAATTTATATCATCGGGGTCATTGGGGTCTCTTTTGCAATATTATGTATTTTGAAGAGGTGATTTTCTATTCTTATGGTATAATTATTGAAGGATTAGCAAATTCCATTGGGGTCCACTGACCCCAATGAATACACGTTGCTCCGCCCCTGTTTGGCCATCACTATTCTGTTTGAAATTTCTGATACTGAAAATTGCGGCTTTGCCACCGAGATTAAAATAAAAAAGGTAGTGGTTGACATATTAGTAAGTTAAAGCCAATGTGCACTCCCACTGTGTAGAGACCAGGTTGTGATGACTCTTATTTAGGTAATTGTAATGCACACATATGCTATGCATGTATTGTGCAGAGATTGATTGAATATTGGACCTGTGTAGAATATTCATTTGTTCCTTTTAAACAAAGTTCTATTCTGTTCTGTTTTAAAGGCTCACTAATAGAATGCGAACAGGAAAGCAACATGTCGCTTCAATATAGCAAAATGAATTTTGTCTATGCACATCTCTAATCCCCTTCTGTTGTACGCTAACCTACTTTGTTTAATCTGGGAAGGTTCTTCTCTAATATGTTTGGTTTCAAGTGCTTCTTGTATCTTGCATTCATTTATACTCTGAAGAAATGGCGTGTGCTGCTTGCAATGTTTTATGTAGGCAAAATTAACTAGCCACCAATTCAAAAAAATTGTCTGCACCTTTGCCATAAACAGATGTTTCAACTAGAGTGAGCCTCTAATGCAAATCAATATCATTGCAGATAAACAGGGTCTATTTCTGCTTAGGTTATCAATAGATAGTGGACTGCAGTTCCCATCCTTCTGCTTTGTTTTTGCTGTGTTCTTTTTTTAGAAACTACTACACCCTAATTTTAGAGCATGGACAACTAGTTGATTTCTTTTTGCCATTTTGGTTTTTGTTGATACAAGACTACACTTATCTTGTATGTTATTTTGGTTTAAATTTGAAAGGTATGCATGCTTTTGAAACCAAGTTTGTGTTTTAAATTAATTAAGCCACTGAAAAAATCTATTGGCAATTAAATTGCTTCTCTTATGGTTGCCAATCTACAATTGTTCAGATTGCACTTTGTACGCTGTAACACTGCAACTACAGTAGATGCCTCTCCATTTGTTATTAGATCATGTCCTCGATATCACATTTGATGTTGCTGCCCCTCTCTATTGCTCTTAGTGCCGCCAGCACAGGCCCCTACCAGGCCACCCCACAAGCGCCCTACCTCGCCATGGCGCCACGCGGCCACCTTGTGCTTCTCTTAGGTGATGATGTATCTCTTCTCTGTTCTCCACTTATCTCTGTTATTTGAACCTATAATGCTCTATTGTCTATTGCTCTGAAGTCAGAACCTATGACGGCTCTGAAGTCTTAAGTTAGAACCTGTTGTACTCATTGTTAGTTGTCACACAAGGAGCAAGGCCTGAAAGTATACATTTGTGGAGCTGCTGCTAAAGATTGATCAAGTACAATTACTAACATTCCAAAAATGCCTGTGCAAACTGCAAACTGCAGCACTTCTTACATTTAGAAAGCTGCATCCTGCATACGACACCGAAGCGTGTTGCCTACGGCGTGATGAGAATGGTGAGGAAGAAGGATACCATGGTGTACATGAAAAAAATTTATAAGGGCATAGCTTGATGAGAAAACTGTACGCAGTTGTAGCTATGCATGGATTAAACAATGTTCTTCTCATGGATCAAATAATTTGAAGGGAGGTTGTAATGAACTTGACTATCATGACCACTTCCTTTAATTTGAACTCTGTGCTTGTATTATGTGTTTAGTGTCATTTGTTCAAGCAAGCTTGCTTTGATACTTCCATACAAAATTGGTGCTTATACATCTAAAATGTGGTTCAAAACAACAAGTTGCTAAGATCAAGTAGATTATAGTGTTTGGCAAAGTTCAAGCGCTAGATTATAGATGACCCATTAGAGTGAAAAAGCCTAAGCGCAAGTTTTTTTAGGCGTTTTTATATATACTAATATACATATATTATCTTCTAAAAGAAAAATAAACAGCTGAAATAGTGGGTTTAGATAGATTGAAAGGCTGGCTTTTCCCGCCGCTTCCTCTGTTCGGTAGCCCGATCACCCGCCGCCTCCGATTCCTCTCTCTCCCGGCATCTCTCTCTCTAGTGCGTGCTCACCGCCACAAGACGCTGCACGCCGCCGCCTAGCTCCTCCTCCTCTACGGCGACCTTAGAACTTAGAAGCATTGGTGACGCTGACATCAATTCATGCGCACGTTAAAAGATCTGGACCTCCCACCGGCGAATTGGCACCTCCCCCACCACCTACCTACTGCTGGATGTCCGCCTACCCCCATAGGCCAGGCGGGAACCCATCGACTAGCGTAGTCGCGAGATAAGGCACGCTTTTTGAACACTGGTGTTTGGTGATAAAAAAGCAACAAGTTTTTTTATACCCTTTTATTGATTTGAATTTTTTTTGGCTCCCATTGCAACGCACGCTGCTAGTGAGATAAAAAAAAGTTAGAACTTAGAAGCATTGGTGACGCTGACATCAATTCATGAGTTAAAAGATTGGACCACCCAAACAGAATTGGCAATCCCCAGCTGATACTACAGCTACATAAAAGACTAGTAGTGGAGATTATCACGCTTATACCTTGATGTGGACAGCTTGGCGAGCCCACCGTCGTCGAAGCCATTAGTGCTGGAGGGGCAGTGGAGCTGCCTGGCACAAAGCAGGCAATGGAAGACGAGTGCAGGAGCTGCGCCTTCTTCGCCTCCGGCAAAAGGTCAGTGCCGACGCAGCCGCCCACAGAGGGACCAGGGCTAGGATCATCGATCTCGTCCAACTCCCTAGCCCCTGTCTTGGCGCCGGCGTCGCCCACAGACAGCTTGGCGAGCCCGCCATCGTCAAAGCCATTTGTTGCCGATCCTCCATGTACTCGGCAGGCGAGGAAGGGGGGTCCTGCAGCAGCTATGGCTTTGGCGTTGCTCTTAAGATCCTGTAGAATGGCTGCAATCTGGTACTCTGCAGCAGCTAGAGCTTTGGTGTTTCTCTCAAGTTTCTGTGTACAGGCTGCAATCCGGTCCGACAACCCAACCCCTGTCCTGGCGTCACCCACAAACGCCGGCCCTCCATCCCTGTCAAATCCTCCTGCAGCTACACAAAAGAAAACGGAACAAATTAGTCATACTTTGTCATTCACAGCACGTCACAATCGTAGGTATGGATCGCTCACCATTAGCTGTAGGACCAGAAAAGGCAGGTGGCCATGGCATTTGCATAGGGTAAGCAAACTGGCCATGGAACTCGAACTCCTCCTTCATGCTGCAGGTCTTCAGGTCGACAACAAAATGATGGTGCGTGGTTCTCGAGCACACAAGAGCTATCCCATTACTGATCGCGCGGGGGCGATAGTACCCAACATGCTCACCAAGCACCTGATCCATTTTGATATCCTTCTTGAGATCCCAGTGCAACTTCTCCTCGTCCAGCTGCCACACTCTAAGTCTATGGTCTCCGCAGCCAACAGCTTCAACAAAACAACACACATTGTCCTCTATCTCCCCTATAACGAAGTTTTGGTAATTTGGAAGGGGAAGAACGGAAAACTGCATGTTGCTTGTGTCCAGCAAGAGTGCTGCCGACGTCAGACCCGTGTATTTGCAAAATATCCGGTGTCCGGCGTGCATCACCTCTTCTGGCGTCCCCTCAATGGTGCTTTTGAGAGTCTCCCAGGGGTGATCCTGCCAGCTCTTCCTTCTGGAGTCGTACTCGACAGCGCGAGCCTGCCGGTTGCGGCCCTCGCGACGGTGCTGCAAGCAGACCACTCGAAACGACGCCGCCGCTTTGTCATGGCCTTGCAGCAAGCACGCTTCCAAACAGTACGGGTGGACGACATCAGGCGGAAAGGGTAGCAGGATGCTCTCGCGGGCCAACGGGCTGCGCACCTCCAGAGCCTCGTCGCCTCTGGTGAGCAGGAGGCGGCTGTTGTGGCAGTCGAGGAGGCGGCAATCCGGATGGACCCCAAGACGGCCGAGGATGAAGGCATCGTCTACGGCGTCGTGGAGGCGATGATCCTGATACCTGCGGATCTCGCCGAAGTCGAAGGCCCTGAGTGCGGCATCCTTGACGTTGCCGGCGGCGGCGTCGCCCAAGCGGATCGAATCCGGCATGAGGAACGAGGGGGGGCCGGCGAACTGGCGCGGGACGTAGAGGCCCAGGAAGGTCGAGGACTTGTGGCGCTTGCGGTAGCGGGCGAGGAACTCGGGGGTGGCGATGGCGCCGCGCCAGCTCCTCGAGGCGGCCGCGGCGTGGACGAGGGCGGCCGGCGTCGAGACGCGGAGCAGGACCTCGGTGAGCATCTCAACCGGGAGGGAGTCGATGGTGGTGGCGCTCCTCGTGAGCTCCGCCGCCATCCTGGAGAGAGGGTTCGCCCTTCTCCCCAATGCGAGAACACGGACAGGAACCCGGAACCGCGGCCCTCAGCGGCGTGCGGCTGGAGGTAGCGTGGCGCGGCGGGCGTGGAAGGAGATGAGCTGGGGCCTGGGGCAGCGGGCGGAGTGAACTGCGGTGTGAAGTGTGGAGAAGGGACGGAGATGAGCCAAGCAGCGGGCGGAGTGAACTGCGGTGTAGAGTGTGGAGAAGGGACGGAGGTGAAAGCCGGGCAGCGGCCAGCGGCCAGCGGGCGGACCGAACTGCGGAGTGAACCTGCGGTATTTGGCTTTGGAAATGAAATTTTACCCGAGGGGGCCCGGCCACACGACACGGCTGCCGCGCCGCGTGCGCGTCCAACGGAGCGAAAAGCCGCCTCTGCCACCCGCCGTGCTCCCGACTCCCGAGGCCAGTGACCAGTGTAAATTTCAAACCCGCACGGCTGCCGCTTGTGACCGTTGTGGGTAAAGATGGCAACGGGCAAATGCCCGCGGATACCACCAGTGTGGCAGTGTCGCGTGCCCGTGCCCGTGCCCGCGCCCGCGCCCGCGCCCGCTATCCGCGGGCGTGCCTTACCGGCGGGCATGCCCGTGTGTCCGCCAGATCTGGAAGAGGAGGGCGCGTTGGTGAAACGGATGGGCGACGACGGCTGCCAGGCGGGGCGGGGTGCCTCCCATCCGCGCGAGCTGCGCCACCACCATCACCTCCTCGGGCAGCGCCTGGCTTGGTCCCTTCCCCACGGCCGTCGCAGCCTGCTTCTTTTCCGCGTTGTGAAAGAAGGCGAAGTAGCAGGCCGTGTCGAGCTAGAGCTTGGTTCGCGAAGGGACGTGGCTGCTTGTCACCCGTGTAGCCGCGCTGCTCGTCGCCGGCCACCAGGTCCCAGTCCGCGTGCTGGTACTGGCTCCCTGGTTCCCTGCGTGTGTGTGGATAGAAATTGGGTTAAGGCCGAGTGGGCAGCCGCAGGACTTGGGCGATGTAGAGAGGACTCAAGCCTGCTATCATGTGTTTGGTTTGGAAACGATCAGCCTGTTCGTTTCGTCGTAAACGATCGTGGATTATTTACTGCTGGCTGGTTTGGTGTGAGAGAAAAATATAGTTTCGGCTTATAATCCATGATCGTATACGAGCAAGCGACTGATGTCGATGTGAGATGAACTGATTCTTCCCTTTTTCTTTTTTTTGGGGGGGCTGGGTCCATCCCATAACATCAGTTTGTCCTCTAAATCAAACGCAGCCGCCCTAAAAATCAGACTATACTCATTACAAACTTATCATTTGGCCTCAATTTCAAAACAAAAAAAACTTATCATTTGGCCTCGCTCGCCGTGAAAGAGAATGATCACCACCTTGAAAAATTCATTCACAGCGCACGGAAGGAACTCTCGTATCCACAACCACCACCATCCACGAGCAACAAAACCGATTTTTTTTTGTTTTTTAGCTCTTTTTTAAAAAAAAAATCATAAATATGCCTCTGCAGGTATGATTTCAAAATCTCAATCCTTGGCTCGGCGTTATCGTTGGTGGCACCGACCTTATACATATCGGCGCCATAGATTTTGGCGCCCAGGTCTTGGGCTCGACGCAGACGTGGCGGTGACTTGGCAGACAACTTGACGCCCTGGCGCCGTAGATCTTGGCGTCGAGCTTGACGCCGTGGTTATTGGCGCTGAGAACAACGCCAAGATCTATGGCGCCGAGGTGGTGCTTTAACCTGGCCCCCAACCTTCCTGCCCGAGCCTTCTTCCTCTTATTTCTCCTCCCTCTCAGATTTTTTCTCTCCCCACTTCGCTCTACCTCACGAATCGACATATTGGACCTTGGAAACTTTGATTTGATTCGTAGATCTTCGAGAGTAAGGTATCCTTGCTCTCTCCTAGTTTTTTTTTCACATCGATTCGGTATATATTAGTCGGATTTTTTAACTTAAGAATCGTCATTACTTAGGGTTTCATATAATTTTAATATTTATATTATACAATCGTAGGATGTAAGGCGTGAAAAAGCTAGCAAACCAAAGTAACCTCGGCGCAAGACGTTGTTATGCTATGGGTTCATTGTTGTCCGATCAAATGGGAAACCCTAGGTGTAGGGTTTAATGTTAATTGATTTCGGTTCTTAGAACGAAAATGGCTAAATTATAGTTATGGTCGGATGACCGGAAATGCCTTCGACCTATTGCCTCGCCTAGTAGTGTTCGGTGCCTATGTACTTTTGCGGAGATGCTTGCAAGGTAGCCAAGTCCGATGAAGAGGACACGTATATGCAGAGGTATTGGATGTGTTCCAATTTCTACACTTCGTCAGCGCCGCATTAACAAGATGGTGAGAAATTGATGTTTGTGTCATATAACATCTTACATGATTTTTTGTTTTATAACAATTGTATTTTTTTGCACCCTCTACCGCTCTCTCTGTGATTTTTAGCGTGGATCGACATCGAGATCAAGCTCAAGACAAGGAATGGATCAGAAGAATCGCTGCGGTGGGAGGTAGAGGATAAGGAGACGCGGAGAGGAGGCTGCAAAAAAGGAGCACAAGGAAGAGGAGGAAAGGAGGCATGTTGCCGCGTACAGGGAGGAGAGGGAGAAGAAGTTTGAGCGTGTACGCCGAGCGAAAGCAGCGATGGAGGAGAATCTCGATGTCTTGAGGAAGGAAAAGTGGCCTCGTTGCACTCAGTAGTCTCCATAACTTGCTAGTTCTATGGTTTATTCATGAACAATGTTGTCTACTGTCGACACGTACTTCTAGTATTATTGTGTTGTTTAATATGGCATAGTATTTGACTTTTTATTATGTAGTTGTTTTCAATATTTGTGGTCATAATATTCAGTATAATATTACGGACGTAGTGAAATGTGATCACGTGCTGCAAACAAAACATAACGAAGTAGGGCATTATATAATTCAACACATAAAACACATGGATGTGCCATGTGAATAAGATAGGGTCGTCCTAGTAGTGTAGCCACATATCAAATTGTGTTGCACCTTCTCCACAGTAGCCTCTCATTATTGTTGGTGCTAGTGGCGGGGGTGACGGCGGAGGCCCCTTGTTCTTATGGTTAGGGCAGATGCAATATGGATTATTGCAGAGTGTCTCTTGTGAATCGGCACCATTATTGTTGTCGTCCTGTTCGTCGTCCTTGTAACCGCTGCTAACTTCCCTTTCTAGATCGAAGATACGGTCCTACAGGTAGTAGATGTACTCCGCATGTGGATAAATAGGTCGAGGATTGACCCATCTAGTGAACCCATAGTTTTCTTCGGCCAATGAAGACTGCAATAAGTATGTCATGTAAGTTGTATAGAAGAGGAACATATTGAAGAAACAAATAGTAATAGCAATTACTCATGTTCGCGGGCATTTGAAGAAACGATGACCTCCATCTATTCCCTCGATGAACATCTGCACTAGGCAGTCCTCACCATGCATGCATTTTGGTCACTCTTCTTTCCGTTTATCATATCCTCTCAGTGGTGCCTCTTTGGTGAAATCACTTTTGCTCTCAACTGGGAACCTCTCATAAAGAGCTTCCTCAAAGAAATCGAGACCAAGAAAACCCTCCCACACAATAGTAGTTCCCTTCCCCTTTCCTCTTCCTCTGGACGACCCTCCAGACATTGGTACTGCAACGAAAGAAAATACTAGTTAGAAAATAAGTAGCAATGCATCCAACATTGCGTATATATAGGCAGAGGCAGGTTTAGTTGCCATTTCAATGTGTTATAACTGGTCACAAGAAGCCTAATTAGTTTCACTGAAGAGACTATTTCAATTGACACTGAAAAGCCTAGATTCGTTTTCTGAAGTCTATTCGTCGTTGACATGATAAATCACTGAAAAGCCTAGATGCTATAGGTGTACTATGTAAGTGAAGTGATAAATCGCTGTTGTCATCGTATTCTCGTCCTTGTAAATGAAAAGTCTATTTTCATTATCTGAAAAGCCTAGATTCATTCACTGTTACTGAAAAGCCTAGATTCATCTGTAAAGTGTCTGTACGATACGATTGGACTATACACGTTCTAATGAATTTACATTTAATTTGTATACTATATTTGTGTCTTTTTAACAGTGTAGTATAATTAATAATTCATGAAAAAATTCGTAAGAGTTTCCCTTGTTTCAGGAGCATCCACGGTTACAAACAGAGACATCATTATATAATGCAAATATTTAATCGTCCAAAGAGCATAATACGACCACATCGAACATCACAATCAACATAACATGTCCTGCATAGTCCAAATAGTCAACATAACATCGCCTAGTGCCTGAAGGCTGTGTAGGCTGAGTCAAGGGAGCGTCCTGAGCTAAGACGGGCCAAGCTCCTCGTGCCTCTGGTCCACATCGTCGTCGTCGTCCTCCTCGTACGCAATGCCTATGGATCCTGTAGGTGCTTGGCTAGAGGAACATAAGCCTCATCTGCCTACGGAAGGAACATGCACATCTTGCATTATGGCTGTCCTGCAACCACAACGAGCAGCCGCACGGCGAAGCCGACGTGACAGCCTTTGTTGCACAAAATTATGTTAACTGAAAGAATCTAACGTATTAATAATATGTTTGAAAGAATATTTTGAATCTTACGTCTAGGAAGCTATGCATGTCGTCCTCCCTGACGCTCGGACAAAAGCGCTCAATGTCTTCAACAGAGCATTTGAGGGTATTGCCCTGCAACAAAGTTCTCAGTAATAATACTTCTCAACAGATAGGAACAAGTTTTGTTTTCTTTTGTAGAAGAAAAATTTACTAAACAACTAATAGGACTAAATCCATCCGAATTTGTACCGTCACCTACAGGTCATCACAATATCCATTTGGTCGTGCATCAAACTCCATCCAATCCTCTTCTGAAGGCATGATTATGTTGCATGATTGAATTAATTATAAGGATGCTACGGCTCGAAGGTGCCACTAACTAAAATAGATACCTCTAACGCATAATGTATTAGTATGCAACTTAATATAGAAAAATAAGGCAATTGACTTACCAATCTGTCCAAGATGGGTCCTGCCTCCACCTGCCTTCCTGCACGAGTAGATTGGTCGTACGTCGTGTCTTCATCGTCGGAGGACTCGATGTCGGCGTAGTCATCTTCTGTCTATTGTAGCCTTAGCCTGCAACGTGTCGCATGTTGGTACCAAGCTTGTTAGTGCCTGAACTCACGGTTCGTATGCGGCTCGTTGTTCGCGTCCACATTGTCGTGCAACAACTCCCATTGTTCAATGTAGTACTGGTGGTGCTTCTCCCAGTCAAAAATCTTTCTGTTCTTCTGACGATCCAACCTGCACGTATGTCATCATTACTTCAATCCATGTACATATCACCATATTAATGGAAATGGACCATTACGAGACAATTAAAATAGCAAAACATTTACTTGTATAAGTCAACGTCAGTCATGAACGGAGCCGTTGGTCAAAGCCGTCTCACTCCAAATTGGCGTGCAACTCTATCCGGTAGGTGAAACTCGACATCATAGAAACAAATTAGAGGGCACCTCATCCTATAGAAGTCGTCGTCGCACCCACACATGTTGCTCAACTGAAAAGGAAGGCAGGTGGAGGCAGGACCCATCTTGGACACCTGCAACATGTCTAAACAAGATGTTATATGCTATACTAAACCATTTCAAACTAGCATGGGAAATAAAATTTACTTACACTAGGCGTCGTGAACGTGTCTAGCTCGTTCATGAACTCAATGTACGCCCGATGTAACCTCGCGTGCGGAACCCTAACATGATCCCAAAGGTACGTCCACGTCGGCTGCCGACGTGGAGGCTGACCTGGGAACCACTCGCGACGAGCCAGAACCTCGGGGCGGCCAACTGGTAGACGAGCCCACATCCACAACTGGAGCAGGTACACACATCCACCAAGTGACGCTGAGGACGAAGTTCGACGACACGCCTCGCAAAGCTGCCGGTAAAGAAAACCCAACACTACAGAGGCGGCACGGGATGGTCGGTGTGCTCCGGCGAGGCGAGGCGGCACGAGCGGTAGAGAGAGAGAGGAAGAGAGAAAGGAAGGGAGGGCCCATACGTAAGGCAGGGCTTGACGCCAATAACCACGGCGCCAAGATCTATGGCGCCAAGCTCGGCGTCAAGATCTACGACGCTAAGCTGCCTGCCAAGTCACCGCCACATCTGCGTCGAGCCCAAGAACTAGACGCCAAAATCTATGGCGTGCGCCGAAATAAAAATCCAGATTTTGAAATCATACCTCCAGAGACATATTTGTGAAAAAATTAAAAAAAGGCTAAAAAACAAAAAAATCGGTATATTTGTGAAAAATCCAGGGGCATACACCTTAGTTTTAAATTACAAATTGTTTTTTCATATATACTCCTAGTTTTAATTAAGTATTTAAAGATAACTTATATCTAGATCCATAACAAATCCTTAGTAACTAGAAAAGCCAAAACAAAGTATTATTTAGACTGAAGTAGCAAAGAATTACTAAACGTGGATCACTACGCGAATCCGCATACGTTTCTCCCGTAATAATAGATATATATAAGCACTGAACTCTTGTTTCTGGATAGAGCCGCATATGTTTCTTCCGTAATAGATACTCCGTTCCAAATTATAAGTCATTTTAACTTTTTTTACATAACTTTGCTACATATTTAAATATAACGCATGTCTAAATACATAGCAAAATCTATATATCAAAGAAGTTAAAACGACTTGTAATTTAGAACATTGAGAACATATCATTAGCACTGAACTCTTGTTTCTGGATAGATTAAGGCATGCATTCTTTCGCAAAAAAGAAAGAAAGAAAGATTAAGGCATGCACATGAACATTCTCTCCTTCCCTCTGGCCTCTACACAGGACTGAGCAACAACTTATGGTTACTGTCATCTAATTATACAATCAATCAAAATCACCATCCAGAGCAAAATTAGCAAGCATCAGAGCCAAACCTCTAGTTTAAGTTACCATTCATACAGCAGGAAATGGCAAGTAATTCAGAAGCGTGCATCTACCAGTTAACCATGCTCAAATTTTTTCACTTGCAAAATTGAAGCTATATACAATAACATTTACAGGCAGAGTGAGAGAAAACTAAATACAGACAAAATTTGGTATTAGTATCCAGGTCAAAATTCTAGCTGCACATTTAAGCAAACTCATATATGCGAGCCACACAAGTGGGGAGAAGAAAGATCTGCCTTTAACAATCTTTTTTAAGGCCTTCTGTATAATCCAATCAATCCCTGCACTAACAGTACCCTACTCGCTCTGCAATGTACACTCGCTTTCAGAATGTCCCTTATATATATCTGGTTCTAATTTGCTCACCCTCACTTTCTGATTTGACAGATAAGTAAAGGATTCCACTCGCTCACCAGTCACCAACCATGATCTGACCAAAAGTTTGAGCGGCTGATGTCTTGGTGCTTCCAAAATTATCTCCATCTTGGAGAAGATAGTGGTGAACTATTGCGGTATACGTCTCTTGATACCCATTAGCACTCAAGAACACCCAATGGACACCAGCTACATCCCACAGACCAACCAAGAACACCAAGAATCATGTCAACACTTGAACATGCACTGACCTGCAAGTACAGAGATTATTAGGTAGAACGCTCATGAAAAAGAACATGCTTGAAAGACAAATACTAGCATCAACTATCAATTAAGCAAGCATACCACGTTCTCATAGCTTCCCTCAAAATGGAACAGCATCACACCCATTCCCCTCCTTTTATTGACTTCTGCCTGGAAAACACAAGAACTAAGATGATGACTTGACTAAAAAATACAAAGAGGATGTGTATACAATTAAATGGATGCAAAAATCAGTAAATAACTCAGAAAATAGCTGAATGGTCATTGCATAAAGTACGGCACAAGACAAAAAAAAAAGACAAATCAAAGATTTGGATTCACATACCACGCAAGAACATATGGTAATTCCACAAGCTGTAAGAGCCGATGTAACCTCCGCCATCATCCCTGTGAATGTCACCAAATTAATTCACGAGATTTTACAAACATTACCAGTAAAAGCTCAATAACAAAATAGCAAATGTGAAAAGCTAGTAGCAGCTACAGGCCTACAGCTAAGGAGTGTTTCATTTGACCAAAAAAACAACAGAATGTATCGAATCAGTCTCTTGAAAGAGGTAAGGCAAATAGCTATGCATAGAGAGCACACTAAGGGAGTGTTTGGTTTGAAGAATCAATCCATTCTAGATGGAGTGATGCATCATGAGTTCATTCCTCAAATTTAGTGGAATGAGATCGAATGAAGTGGTGATGGATCAACTAATTCCATTTCATAAACCAAACAAAAAATTAGAATGAGATGATGATAAACCACATCATTCCACAAACCAAACACCCCATAAAGGAATGAAGGTTTGGAAAATTTCCACAATGATTAGCATTGCAGCTTTGCAATGCTTAAATAACACAGGGCAGGCAAAGAATTAGGAGCCATTTACAAGGAGAGTTACCATAGTTAAATGCTACTGCCAGTCAGCTAAGTTAGGCCGTCAAGCTATAAATCATTCTTAAGGCCTGACTGATTGTGATATTTACAAGGCTATAATTAGCCAGATTCAAATATTCCAACACACAATAATTTCACGTGAACAAGTTTGTCGTAAAACTCAGATATTACTTCAAGGTAGAGAAGATAGAAAGATCAGTATAACTTTTCTGTCTAGTGCAACAGTATGGCAAAAGCATCACCTTTTCGGTTAACACAGGCTATGCAAAGCCATTGGACAGAGTTGCCTTCCGTACTATGCCAACCAGAAATTTTACCAGATTTCCAGCGATCTAAACCAGGGAAAACTTCCTTGCAGGTGGAATTGCCAGGGTGCATTAACTCATTGAAGCTATCACCTCGAATTGTAGAATGACCATTGATTTTGATGCCCAATTCCTTAACAGTTTTGTTTTGCTTCCCATTGAGCTTTGGATGGACATTATTAACAGGTAAAAAGCCATCGCTACTTTTGTTGACAAAGAATAATTTATCAGAACTTAATGTCTTCTCCCAGTTGAATTTACTATCTTCGTTCTTGGTGCTTGGAAGTGAAAGCTCACTATCACTTTCGTCTTCAAGATCAGCAACAAAATTATTAACTGCGTCAGCAGTAATTTCAGCAGCAGAAAGAGCAGCTTGGTCCCTTAAGAACTGATAAGGAAAAGATTCATTACTGAGCGGTCTGGTAATGTAGGAAAATAAATTTAAATGATAGTACCACATACTTTCATAATTTTGTGTCTAGCACTGCGAGTTTTTGCGTGCTGTAGCCACTGCTGGTGACGCTGGAAAGCATACTTACTAGATAATTTCTGAAACGGAAACAAATATGTTGAGTTAGTCCAAATGTTCATGGATATAAGAAGTTTCCAATGCAATTTCTCCCCTTGAAATCCTCCTGATAGATACAGGGCAATAAAACAAGCATTGTGATACTGAGTAACTGACAAACACATACGTAATTCAGATTTGCACCCAAATTGTTATAAGACTATTTTAAAAGACAGTTAGCAGTTACTTATGTAGGTCAGTAGCCTTGATGGCTGCTCATGATGGTTAAGGGTATTGAGATCAGATTGATTGGCCTACCTAATGCTGTAGGTTAAAAAACAGACAGATTGGTTGATTCACTTGAGACCATTCATGCTGTGAGACCAGAAAGTACAGCACATATATCCTCTCTAGGAAAAAGAAAGTAACATTTGATCTCATGGTGATGCTATGGTGCATGCATGCAGTCACATTTTGATGGATCAGTAACAAAAGAAGTAAGATATCATGAACCCAGTTAGACAAGAAAACAAGGAGAGGTCCATGCCGATCCCTGCATGTACGATCTCTCTTGAACTCAGTATGCTTGTAGCGGGCTAGTGGCTGCAGCATAGATCACTGTCTTAACTCTTTAACTGATACAAGGTGTCCCCTCAAGGTAATTATCAGTTATATAAAACTCGACCGGTGGGGGAAAGACTGCCCCCACGGCTTTTCACTAAGCAGAAACCTAAGCGAAATCAGCCGAGAAAACGCCCGAACCCTGGCCTCACCCTGCCCCACCATAACCTGGGCGGTGATCACTGCCACTACCACCAGATAGGCCGGCACCCTGCCATTAATTTTTGGGGAGCCACAGCGACTCAGCGATGGAATTTTTTAAGCAAGCTGGGATTCAAACCCTGGTTGGTTGGTACCACTACTACCACACTAGTGCGTTTGCAGAATTATCAGTTATTGCTAATTCCCTGGGCATTCTTAGTTTTTTACTTCAAGATGTATGCTGGTTGGTGGAGAATATAATGATTTGTGAAGGCCTGACTTGGTACAAGCTGGAAATGACCTTTTGGGCAATCAATAAAAATCTAAAATACTCAGCAGTTGGCACAAACCTTTTAGAGGGTTACTACTGTAAACAGTAGTATGCATTTCTCTGCAGCAAGTTGAAACTTTTGACAGTACAACTAAGAAGTTCAAGAAAAAATGATGCTATATAAATTTAGCTAGCTGGTCATACGCCCGTATAAAACTAAAGAGTTACAACCATACTGAAGTTAATATTAGGAAAACAAGAATTAAGAGCATAAATTGACCAATAAGCATATAAACATTGCAACATTTTGACAAAACCAAAGCAGCACCTTGTATGTGTGTGTCTTGAAATTGCAAAATTGTCAAAAAAATTTATATCAGAAACAAACCATGTGATATAAGAGAGGAATACTGACATCATAAGTTATAATCTCCACCACTTCAGCATTTGCAAGTACATGGATTGGTGAAACCAGATTGCCATTCACCTGCAAAAGAGCATATGAATACACTAATGGAATTAATCATTACAATGTATTTCCATTTTTTCCTCATAATTTACCTTTGCTGCAATCATTTTGTTGCCGATTTCAGTATGGATCAGATAAGCATAATCAACCACTGTGGCTCCCTCAGGCAGGTTTTTAATCTACATGTAACAGCATATTTAGAGCCCAAAAACAGTCTATGCTGTTAACTAACTAATATCTCTGAGTTCATTGCCTCACCTCGCCTTTAGGAGTAAACACAAAGACACGGCTTCCCAGAAGATCTCGGGTGATAGTATCAACAAATTCCCTAGAACTCATATTACCAACAAACTCTTCCTGCCACTCGCGGATTGCATTGAGCCAACCAATCTATGAAAGATGGTAAGCTATTAAAACTTTTCTCAAGCCCACTGTGGTATAATATTTAAAGTAGTACTATAAGCTTTAAAAGCATTAGTATGATTGGATTACATAAAGTACAGTACCCTCAGAGCAAAGCCTGTGTTGTTCAAGCAGATTACTTTCCCCTTGGCATTTCTTCCACTTGATATTCCAGGGCGAACAGGTCCAGAAACCACCCCTCTTCCACTGTAATGTGCAGCAATACCTCTTTCTGCTATTAAATCCATATCTTCTGTTCTTATCTGCGATACAGTTAGAATTTTAAACATAAGTCACAATTAACAACAGGATGAAAGTACATTCTTTGCTTGATATTTGCCAGTTTAAATTTAACAAATGAGTAGGCAGCACTACCTGAACTTCCAAATGGAACATACTCTCGTTAAGAAATGGTATCACTGTTGTGTGTAGACTTTGGTAGCCATTAGGTTTTGGAGTTGCAATGTAATCTTTCACCTGTTGGCACAATTGAATGTTAGAAAAATGGTATAATTCACAAAAGAACATTAAATACGCATTTAAAAGAAGATAACTCACAGCTTGAGGAATGGGTGTCCATATACCATGAACAAGGCCAAGAACATGATAGCAGATCTGAAGTGAATTGAACATACTTGTGAGCCAATGACAAATCCACTGTATAAGCAATATAGTAATTTGTTGTTAGTGGTACCTGTTGTGCAGTGCACAATGGCCCAACACCATTGCAGGATTTTGGTTTTATGATGATCCTCAGCTAAGCAAATAATGTAAGGTTCATTATTTTACAAATAACAGCATATTCAGAGTAATATAAATAGTATGGATATTAAAAAAACATACCTGAGCAACCTGATTCACCTCATTTATTGAACTCTTGGATTTGAGTGTAGTTTTGTAAATGCTGAAAGATGGCTCAAATAATAAATAATCCACCAAATAAACAACCTTACACAATATTTCCAAGTAAGAACTGTTAGACTAGAGCCTATAGGGCTGGCCATGGGCCTTGGCGCCCACACCTGGTGGCTGGGCTGCCTCAGGTTTATAGTAGTTGATCTCCCAGATTAGGCAAGGATCTCCGTTGATTGGGTGTGTTCTATAAACCCTACACCGATCCTTGCCTATATATGTTGTACCCCCTTGTACACATTGAATCAATCTACTACTTTCCCTGTGCCATATCTTCTCTCAAGAACCACATAACACTCGCACCATTATAATAATAACCTTTGGTTTAAAATGCAATTGAGACACACAACTAAGCAAATAAATAGGCAACCGTACCACAAAGTATTATCATATTACGGAGTGGTTTTTAGTCAGCAACGAATATGATTCAGTCGCCAACCCTTTTTAAAAACCCAAAAGGAAATAAAACTAACGAAAATGTGTAGCAGACTGGTTGATTATATGATCTCATAGGAAATGAGTTGGAAAACTGTGTAAGAAATATCTAGGGAACACCATAGCATGCCAGCACAGCACTTCAGCAAGCAGAGGTGGTGTTATAGTATGATAATCTGATTCCTAATGAAAATAGATAAAATTCTCTTTGGAGTCTCAAGCCAGTAGCACTTTTAGTTTAATGAGATGGCATGCGCTCACCTGTAGAGCTCTTTGTAAACTGAGCGCACTTCTGTTTCAACACTAACAAGATCGAGAAACTGATCCTCAACAATCTTTTGCCTTAAAATCCTATTCGCCTGGAATTAAAGAATCTCAAATTAATGCCATCCATTGCAAACATGAGAAAATGACACTGAATCATGCAAAGTATCAATCATAACTTAAAAGCTACCAAACAAACACAGCACCTCTTCCAATTCTTGTTCATGGGCCTTGTACAAGTCTTCGACTCTTTTCCTTAGTTCAGCAAAACCAGTGGGGTTAACGTACATGAAGGATAGATATTCCAGCTCAGACTACAAAGACAAGAGCTGCTGGTCAAAAGGAAGGAAGAACTGAGAGTAAAACATTAGGATATAGGAAATTTTTTCTTCATAAATGCACAGATACACATAGAGTGATACACTGATATATGCCTACATGAAAAGAAAAGTACACAAAACAAAATATTTTTTAACATGGATAAAAGTAGCAGTACATCACCTTTTATAATAAAAAAACAAAGGGCACAAGCCTTTCTTTAGTCCCTAGCTCAAAAACCATGATTAAAACCAGATGCAAAGGACTAAAGAGACTGCTTTCACAAGTTCAGGGGTTGGACTATTATTGCAGAGGGTGTGAAAACTAGAATTATTCCCCAAATACTTTTATAAGAAAGACTTATGGACAGCAAGTGAACCTTGGTTTTATTTTATTCTAGAATTATTCCACAAATATGTTTACAGTAAGTGAACCTTAGTTTTATTTTATTTTATTTTTAAAAGGTAAGTACCGCCTGTGACCGGAAGGTCCTGGGTTCGAGTCGCGGTCTCCTCGCATTGCACTGGCGAGGGTAAGGCTTGCCACTGACACCCTTCCCCAGACCCTGCACAGAGCGGGAGCTCTCTGCACTGGGTACGCCCTTAATAAGTAGTAAAATATAAGGCCAGATTTTCTCTTAACACAACGGGTCGTCATGGGAGAAGGATGTCAGAGAACAGCTGATAGCCTGATACAAGGAACTATACATAGCCTGTATTCACATGTAGCAGTGTAGGCAAGACAACAAGTTGTGAAACAATTCTAAAAATGCAAGCTATTCATCATTGGCTTGCGAATTTGACTTATCAGCGATACAAAAAATTGTAACAGAGGTAACAGAAACATTCCACTCTGAGAACACATAAGATGAAGCCAGTTATTTTTTAAATGGTATCCAAAATTTTATAAAAAGAAAACATATGCAGCATATACTGCAAAATTGAACAATCTGAAATAAAACAAATAAAGCAATACAGTATTAAAGCTAGCTCTTATAGGTCCTAAGGACCAGCAGATACCTTTATACGGTACATCCCAAGGAGTTTTGCTAGAGGGGCAAAGACCTGCAATGTCTCCATGGCGATGGCATACTGCAAATAGTCGTGCTTAGTACTTAGGGTGGAAGTAAGATACAGGCGTATCTTAAATCTGGAATAAGAATTCACCTGCTTGTGCTGAGGCATATGTGTGAGAGTACGCATGTTATGCAACCTGTCTGCCAGTTTGACAATGATCACACGAACCTACAGCATTGATTTTTATTTTTTTTCTTAAGTAAAATGTACAGAGGCAAATCTTTTTTCCTGATAAGATGTTCCGTATGGATAAAAAGGATACCTCTTCTGTCATGGCAAGAAACATCTGCCTTAGGTCGTCTGCTTTAAGATCTTGTTTCGAGCTACCCTCACTTTTACACTGAAGTTTCCCCAACTTAGATACCTACATTTAAAACAGAGCAGGTTTTGCGCTAGATTTACTACATGATCAGCGAAATATATCAAAGTTGCAGCTTTGCAAAAAACAATAATATACCTTTGTCTCCCCTTCAACAATACGGCGCACAGTTGGCCCAAACTCATTTTCTATTCTTTCAAAGGTAACCACGTCTGTATCTTCAACAGTGTCATGCAATAAACCAGCAGCAATGGATTCCCAGTCAAGTTCCTAATTATACCAAAGCAGAACAGAACTTAGATTCATTGTTTATACTAGGGACAAGTACAGAAACTGCATCACCATAGGGTCAATGAATGACAATCAAGTTCCAAATTATGTCCAGGGAGACAAAAAAAAAACTTCATTGCTACTACTACTAGGCCCTAGGGACCCTTCAAGGAAAATACTCGTCCTAAAATATAAGGAATATTTAGTTGTCCTCAATCAAGCTGTCCTATGTTCGACCAAGTATATAGAAAAGAACAATAATATTTAAGAACCAAATTTGCATCATTAAATACATAACATAATATGTTTTCATAATTTACCTCTTTGATATGGTAGAAGTTAGTACTCTTATCTATAAACTTGGTCAAACTTAGGATAGTTTGACTTAGGACAACTCAAAATCCTTTATATTTCAGGATGGAGTACTCAGTACTTCACTAGTGTCAACAATATTACTACTTACGTGCTCTCCAAGAATACGAGCAACTTCGACAGGATGAATAATGAATGGTTCTCCACTTCGCCGTTTTTGTCCACTGTGAGCTTCGTATGCCAACTGCAATTATTAATGAACTATCATGATGCAGACATTCATGTAGGCACTTCCACAGAAACCAGAAAGTGCAAAACTGTTTTTTCAAATAGCATGGAAGGAAGATATTGTGAATCAGTTACCTTCAAAGCGTCATGCACAAAGTTTAACTCTTCAGGTTGAAGATATGAAACAGCTGGTTTGAGATCCTGTTATGCAGAAAAAAAAGGTTACATTCACTATGATTGAAGTCACTCTTGATTCGCATAAGGAAATCTAGCATTAAAGTCAAGTCTTGCTTCGCCGAAGGACCTAGTAGCACCTGAGGTATGAAGGTAAACTTGCACATAAAAAAATGTCATTTCAAACTCAGAGGAGCAAAATGTACTACCAAGTTACAACTTACAACAAAAGGGTACCATTTGGTAAAACTGGCGTGGCCGCGTGGCTGGTGAAATGAATGTATTTTACTCTGGCCAGAACTACATTTCAAAAGCATCAAGGAGCTTGACTCCTTTCTCTTTTCTTTTAGTTAAAACATGTGTTGGCACCATGGAGCAGGAAATAATTGTGATGTTCCACTACCAGGAATAGAATGGTCCCTATTCCTTACATATTCTAGAATATTTGTGCAAAGGTTAGAAACAAGGTGGCAGGCACTATATATCATATCTTTAATAAAAGGGAAAAAGCCCAACACTGTTGTATGTTTGCTACCCTAAAAAAAACTCTGAATGGTCATAAAACCGCAAACCAAACCGAGGGATTTGATCGAAGCTAGAAAATGTAGCTCTTCAGATATGCACAGAAGTGCAAATTACATAAGTGATTCAATGACACACCTCCCACAAAGTCTCTGGGGAGATGATGAAGGATTCAGATGATGAATAGCAGTAAGCTCTCCATGTTGGGTCAACAGTAGTAGACCAAGGTCTGACAAAACTTGCAGAGTAGGCAGGTGATGGATCATAACCAAATTTCCCTCTATTGATGTCCTCATCAAAGGTGATACGCAGTAACTGAAAAAACAAGTAAAAGGTTATTGGAAAATGAAAAACTCAACTACTTAAATAAGCCAAGGAAATGTGAATGCAGATTTTTTTTTTAAATGTTACATTCACAAAACAACCACAATCTGACATGGTGTTAACTCATAAATTTAACTATAACATAATCAGCATCATCACAAAGTGAAGTATAAAGCAAATTGATTGCCCAGGTTGCATGGAATCATTATAAGCTCCTGAATTCTAGTTGGTTATATTAAGAAAATTGGAATGTCTTTGGGTAGTGTTAGAATTCTCTGAAAAAACTTTGGACAAGTCATCAGCAACATAGCTTCTTAAAGTGTGTGCCAGGGGGCCAGGCCCTGTGTGGCATGCTCCTCCACCCACACTACCTATAACTTATCCACAACCCAGAACGCCACTCCCTTAGCATCAGGAAGCACCTGATGCTAACTACCTTTCCTTCCAGTTGGCTTAATCTGAGGTAGTATCGTAGTAGCAGAGTGACCACAGACTTATACCTTACTTGCACTAGCTACCTGTTGCAGTTGTCAATATACCAAAAACAAAACTGAATTACTTGATATTCTACCACATTACTAGATATCGTACCGCAAAATACATGATTCTGCAATGGGGTCTGACTATGAATTTCAAGGAAAACTGGAGAATGGAGACCACAGTGTGTATTACAGGGGAAACTGACGATAACGCTGGGTCAACACTGAATAGAACATGAGATGGTCAAGGCATCCTCAGGAATGGTCTTTTGGATTTCAATAACATGATCATATTGTCCAACAAGGCAACAAGGCTACGAAAGGATGCTGTGGAGTCATTCATATATTGTTCTGTTCGAAAAGGAAAATAATCTCAGGTTTGCTTGTGAGGTAGCCAAATTCTTAGTTGCCCAGATACTACTTCCACCAAACATTAGGCAACAACAATTGACCCAAATAAATGTTCGCAAAATTTGAACCATTGTCAAGTGGAAAGCTAAAAAGGAACGGAGATTTTCCTAGCATATGTTTGGTGGATTGATGATCTGTATGAGCATTACCTTTTTTTCTCAGCTCTGTGAGTTACATTTCAATCATTCCCTTATGCTTTAATGAGACAGTACCAAAGATTAGCCTCTTTGTGCTAGAAACTGTTCCTTAATCCTCTTATGCTCTATGACTGAATGGATATAATTCTAGAATGTATGTTATCAAACTCTTCCATCCACCACTAACATGCACAAAGCACAAGATTGCACATTTGAGATGAGCCAATGTCTAAACTACACTTATTTAGTAACAGATATAATCTGTAACTATTCAGTAACGGAGATAGTATGTCTACTCTACACCTATTTAGTGCTCTTGTTCCAAGTTATAGTTCACTTTAGCTTTGTCCTAAGTCAAACTTCTCTAGGTTTCTCCAAGTTTATAGAAAATTGCATCAACATCTACAATATCAAACTAGTTTCACTAAATTCTCTATGAAATATGTCTTGATAGTGCATTTATTTGAACTTGTACATGTGAACATATTTTTCTAAAACTTGGTCAAAGTTATAAAAGTTTGACTTAGGACAAATTTGGCACGGAGGTAGTAAGAGATAGAGTATGTCAATTCAATACCTATTAAGTAACAGAATGAAAAGAGTAGAAAACCATATGTAGACAGAAAATACACAAAATATAGACAAAAAAAAAAATGGTCAAGGAAGGCAATAGAAAACTGTCATGCAAACTAGAAGCCAAAGACAAAATAATAACAGTAAACAAGCAGCATCTACAATATAAAAAGAGCATGTCAGTTATTGATGTATTGGGTCAAAAGCAGGTACATAAAAGAGTGTGACTGCTACAGGATGCTTGGATGCTGCAGACAGGATCACTGAAACTGAAAGTGAATCTTTCCAGAGCTTGTTTACTTTGGAACTGAAAAATGCCATGCAATGAATTTTGAAAAAAAAATGCCATGCAATGCACGCAAAAACAAAATTACAGAAAAGAAATTCCCTTTACTAGAGTAATTGTGATTCAAGTGGATAGAATGCAGTTCTGCCGCTGAAGATATTGCATTCAGCTATTCAGTCAGACAGTAGCAAAGGACAGCAATGACCGCCACAAGGAATAAGAAATGCATTTTTCCTGCCTATAAAATTAAATAAATGACACTGAACTGTGCTATAAAGCTAAGCTTTCATGAAGCTGCATGCGATCACTGGAGTTCACCTTTCTAACTCATGATATATTCTACCAGCATCGACACCAAGAGAACATCAGGCCCTATATTACTACAATTTATTCTTCGGATAAATTTAACAGAAACTGCTAATGGAACAAACTGATCATGCCAGTTAACCAAATAAATGCATAACTTATTTTTAGAGAGGAAATAAATGCATAAAATTGAATGGTAAAGCAGCTTACCAAATAATTGCATAACGATGAAATAAAAATGCAATAAAAATGCAAAGAGAGCGCACTTTAAATTATTATCCTGCATGACCTAGAGGCTAGGGCCTGTTTGGAACGCAGGAAACAAAAACATGGGAATAGGAAAAAACGCAGGAATGGGGTGAGTGTGTAGTGGTAAAACAGAGGAAAGGAAAAACGCGGGAAATAACTAGAAGGGGTGTTTGGAACGCAGGAATCCATAACACAGGAAAAACGCAGGAAGTAACATTATTTTTTGTTTCTCTTCTCTTGCTGTCTCGGTCTTCGTGAATCCATTGGTTTGGACTGGATGTTTTGTTTCCCGTGAAATGAATGGAGGTAGGAAACTTTCCTTTGTTTTACTGTTGAAGTTTCCTTCATTCCGAACAGCATTTCTAGAAACCTTTCCAAAGGAATGGATTCCTATGAATTCCCTTTGAAATTCCTTTGATCCAAACAGGGCCTAGAGGGGTCGATTTGAAGTCATCAAAGTGATAAAACATTGTTTGCTACCAGAATGTTGCAGTAGACTGCTACTTCAACTCAGCTGGCTTAAGTAGGCGAATCACGAAATCCATATCGACGCTATGGCTTGAATAACAGAAACAGCAACAGAGTAGTGGCAACGCACCGAGTTGTTACTCCGACGCGACCGCCCGCGCCTCCTCCAGCCGCCTCCGGCCTCGGCGTGGCCGCACGAGGAGCACTGCGCGGTGCTGGCGAGCGCGCCCGTGAGCGCGCGCGGCGCGTTCCACGCGCACGAGAGTACGCTGCATTCGTAGGGCCTTCCGCCCCCCTTCCACGAGGCGGCCGTGCACGATCTCACGCACTCCAGAGACGACGCTGCACCCGGAAACACACAAACACGCCACAAAAGCATCAGACCCCCGGAGAGGCGGCAAATCAAGAACCCTAGGCAGCGCATAGAATCATAAAGCGGGGGCGAATTGCGAGACCAGAGGGGATGGGAGCGGTTACCGGGCACGGTGGGCGGCGGGGTCTGCATGGCGCGGCGCGGCGCGGCGCAATCTCAACGGCAGCGCTGAGGCCCTCGTGCGGTCGCCGCTGCCGCCGCCTCCAGTTGGGCGCGAATTGGGCGCGGGAGCGGCGAGTCGCGTCGAGACCGGGAGAGAGGACGGGCTTTGCCGAGGGGGTGAGGGAAGGAGGAAGGGAGGGACGGGGAGGCGGAAGAACTCGAAGAGGGATAACACGAAACGGAGGCCACACAAAGGCCGCGGCCGTGGTGAAATGGAACAGGAAGGGTGCGGTGCCGGTGCGTGACTGCTGCCCCCGTCCCTTGCTGGATGCTCTGCTCTGGCCCTCTGGACTCCGCAGCTCGCCGTTCTATTTTCGTCTCGCCGTGCAATTTCGGACGGTTTTATCTGTGATTTTTGTCTGGTTTCCTTGCTAGGATGGCGTTGGTCACTGGATTCTAGTGCTCTGCTCGCCTGCTCGCCTGCTCCACTTGTGATGTAGAGTTACTGCCTCTCAGCTGAGCGCCGCAAGTCAAGGGCCTCAAAAGGGTCTGCAGGACTGCGGCGCACGCCTTACTTGTGAGCGTTATGCAATTTTATTTATGTCTTCATAAATTTGGTCATGCAAATAAGTGCGCGTTCCGAAAACGCCAGATTTTTTTATTTAATTTATTAGTTGCGATCATCGAGAGAATCTTTTTTTTTCCATTGGGGGGAGAGCCATGCATATGCATGTCTTACTCAAGCAGTCCATCCTTTTTGTCCATTCCTCACTTGCTTTTGCGGTGGTTTGAATTTTGACTAACAACGAGAAGAAATAAAGATTTCCCATGATCACATGGCCATTTCATGTATCGCCAGCAATCACATGTGCGTGTTAGCATAAATTATTTTCGGTTGTCGTAATCTAATGAAACACATAAAGAAAAGGCTACGCATATCATATAGGACATGCCCTTTGGAGTACCGTATATACAGTATCTTGTTAGTATTTTTCTACGGAAGAGCAGGGAATGGATAGCTAAGTTTGTAAAGGTGTTTGCCTTTGCGCTTATCCTCATTTGCGGTAAAAGAGTAAGATCGTTCAGCCAATACTAACAGAACAGAGTTTGTAAACCTGGAAGCCTTGGATTCGATCCTTTTGTGGAAAATATCCCGGTGTTCTTGTAGGTTCTTGTTTTATGTGTTCTTTTTAAGAACGTCGATTCACTTGCAATTTTGGTACACTAGGGTCAACAAATTACAATTAGTATTTTTTTTCTGCTCTATTTAGCGGGTTCATATATGTTAGTTAAAAAGTAGGGCACGCGGACACCCCCACGAGCTTAGCATCACAGAAACCACAATTGGCAACCCAACAAAATGAAAATCAGCATCAGACAATGCCCACAATATTTTGTTCCACGTCTATGGACTTTTGTTCGTGAGTTTGTGCAATTTTGCTTTCTGAAAACAATTTTTTGATTCCGCATTACGTGTATAGCTCCAGTTCGAGTACTTGTTGTCAAGCATGCCATATGTACAGTTTTTTTTGTTTCGGAATTATTTTCAAACTTGTTTCAAGTTTACAAGTTTTCTGTTCGAGCTGAACCATGCTTGTTAAGCATGGCAGACGTACAATGTTTTGTTTTGAGTTTGAATAATTTATTCCAAGTATCACCTATTGTTGCTCATGCATAATGTTTTGTTGCACCTAATTTTTAAAATTTCATTGAATATTTCTTGTCAAGCGTAAAATATGGTCTAAGAAACTTAGCAAGCTAAAAATGATCGACTAAAACCAATTTCCTATTGCCAAGCAGCATGCATTGTCAATTAATCTAAAGAGTGGTGAGGCTTAGCTGAATCATCCTTTCCTATTTCCTTGTCTATCTAGTCTGCAATTCCGATTCCGCGACATTTCGTGGTAACGCACTAGCACATTTGCACGTGTGTGACATAGGATTGTCAGAGTGCCACACCTTTTTTATTTTTAATTTGTTTTTTTCTCTTCCCTCTTTCTTTTTTATAAATATACGTAATATCTTTTGATTGGTAATGAAATATACTTTCATAATAAATTTATTTAGCTACACAAATATTAATACTATTTGGTATGCACTCCATTCTAAATTCTAAAATGTTTTAACTTTTTAGATATATTTATTTTATTATGTATCTAGACATAGTGTATATTTAAGTACAGAAAAATCCGAAACATCTTATAATTTATTTCTTTCATTTTAAATTATAAGACGTTTTGATTTTTCTATATGCATTGTTTTAACCATGTATTTAGACATAATATGTATCTAAGTACATAGAAAAACCTATGTATCTAGAAAATTAAAATGTATTACAATTGAGAACAGATGGAGTAAAATAGAGGGAGTATATACCTAATTATTAAATTTAAAAAAGTTCGACTCATGAAAAGCCTTCCTCCCGCCGTACTCTCTCCAGTCTCCACCCTCTTTTCTATCTCCCGTCGAGGCGTCGAGAACGAGGGCAGCGAGGAGCGCGTGTAGCCCTGTAGCAGCGAGAGGCACAGCGGCAACCGCCGAGCATTATTCGCCCGCACTGTGTGCGCTCGTTGCCGCGCGTGCTTGCTATAGCGGCCGCGCCAGGCGCCACACGTGCTCCGTTCAGCCCTCACGCATGCCGCGACCGCGCCAGCTGTGAAGGCTCCTCGTATCGGATTGGACTTTGTAGTGTGTGCGGAGTGCGGAAACCGATTCCTCGTGAAGATGTTTTCTCTCGTTTAATCCTTACTTATCACATCATCAAAATCACGTACTTACGTGGCAGGCCAATATACACTACTCCATCTGAACGCCCCCGCGTCGTCCTCAGCAGGTCGACTCGGGCGGCTCCAGGCTCCTCCACCGCCGAGCCCCCTTCCCCGCGCTTCTCTACCCTGCCGCTGAGCGGTAGGGAGTTTTCTCCCTCCTCTCGGAGTTGCTGGTGCCTGGGGCGCGGTGGGCGCAGGGCGGCGGCCGGCACCTCGGTCCCGGCGGATCCGGCGTTCCCTCGCCCGGATCTGCTAGCCCTGCGAGTGGAGCTGCCCACCGGTGTCTTGGGGTGAAGGTGGAGGCGCGCAAGGCGGCTGCAACAACCTGGATCCGACCCTGGTGTTGGTCGATCTGGCGTTCCATCGCCCGGATCTGCCAGTCCTACACCTGGGGCTCCACGCCGGTGGAGGCGGCTTCGAGTTGCACTTCGTGCGGCGTGCCAGCGCCGTTCACCGTGGGTGGAGGGGAATTTTTACATATTTACCATCACGACGATGGGAATAACATGTCAACGACTCATGTGTCAGGCACACAGTATAAGATAACATCCGTAATAGTGGTAAATATGTAAATGCCCGAGTGGAGGCAACCTGAGCTGTGTCTTCGCCCGGACCAGGTACTGCAGGCGGTGTTGCGCGTGGCGCACTGAGGTGACCGCGTGAGGATGAGCTCCGGTGATGGCGGTATAGTAGTTCGGTGCGGAGGCTACGGGAGGTCTTGCGCGGCGTGGGGTTCATGCTGGGACTCCCTGGCAGGGAATAGGTTGTTGGCGGGTTGGGCGACTGGGGCATCTTCTGATCCTGGCCCTCTTCTCCCCGCTATCTGCCTCCCCCTTGCTCGGCTGTGCCCCGTGGCGGAGTTGGTCAGAGCTGCCTGCTGCTGGCCGGTTTTGCCGGTTCCGGCGGGGGGTGCACTCTCCATCGGGCTTCTCCCGGCGCTTCTCCTGGCCGGTGTTCCTTGAGACGGTGTCTGGGCGGAGCTGCCGCTGATCTTTCGACACATCTTACCTCCTTGGTATGATTGGGTCTCCGGCACCGACGGTGTGGAGGATGTATGAGGTCGGGGCAAAATCCTAGACGACGACGTCTTAGGACGTCGTTAGACTGTCTCCGAACCGACACCCAAGACCAAAAATAGTTTAAACCTTTTGCCGTCTTTTCTTAAAAAACGTAGCGGGCCAATCGAGACTATAAAAACGACCGACACTAGCTGGCTGGCCATCGCAGGCAAGTGCATTGTGCACCCCATTCAATCCAAGTGGGGCGTAAAAGGCTTCGGAATGCCCAAAAAGCTTCGGGCAAGCTGTGTGCAAGCAAAGCGATGGGCGATGGCAACTCCAATTGCAGAATTAACTGCTGAGCAGCCAAATCACGAGATGGTATTCAATCCCGTAGGCCAGGAAAGCAACCGACCGAGCCTTTACGTAACGCCACCAATGCCAGTGCGATTTTTTTTAACACTTTTTAAAACTATTTTTAAAACGGACACTGTTTTATTTTTTTTTTCAAATGTAACATTTTTTGCCGCGATTATTCACATGGCGTGACGAAATCATATTGTCGCGCCATGCATGGGGGCGCGGTAGGAGCGGCGACGTGGCAGCGATCCAGGGCTGCTGAACGTTGACGTGGCCGGGACTGCCACGCCGCGGATCTGGGCGTCACTGACGCACCACGGTGCATGGCGTGGCAAAGAGGGGATGATTTGACGGGTTGCAATAATGCTGCTTCTATTACCACTAGCACCAGCACTAGCACTAGGGAGCCGGCCAGGCTAGATCACTTTTTGCAGAAGCAGCCAAAGAGCAACGCGTTGGAAGCAAATGTGTCTTTGATAAATGCCTTTTCTCTAGGCGTGTGACGTCTATCCTACCACTGCACATAGACAAAAAAAATTTGACGTGACCTTGATATGACCCTACAAGAAAAGGCTGCATACTTAAACCTTGGGTTGGGAAACACAATAGCTTGAGTGCATCTAATCCTACGTGGACGATAACTTTTATATGAGGCAATCAATACTATATGCCTCCATTGCGCTTGCCCTAATGGATCAACTGATCACAGTGCTTGAGTGCTACAGAGTACACAAGTGATTGAGGGAGTGTACACACGTAAAGAAGAGATTGAGGGGCTCTCCAGCAGGCTTGTCGCAGTAGCCCAGCCTGACAAACCCGACCAAGCCCAAAAATACCAAATCCAACGGCAGTGCATCTATTTGGACTTTGGACCAGGCCGGGCTGAGCTAAAAAAAGGGGAGTT